TAGGCACTAATCTATGGATTACACATGACTGGGCAGGGGCGCAGCCATAGGCCCACCCACTTGGGAGCCAGGCCCACCCGCTGGGGAGCCAGGCCCAGCCAATCCTCAGTTTCATCAGCTGTCCGGGTCGCTGGTCTCAGATGATCCTGCAGGTGGCAGTCCTGGGCTTGCGTGGTTACACGTGGTCTCCGGTTGTGAGGCCGGTTGGACGTACTGCCAAATTCTCTAAAACGACATTGGAGGTGGCTTATGGTAAAGAAATGAACATTCAATTCACTGGCAACAGCTCTGGTGTAAATTCCTGCAGTCAGCATGCCAATTGTGCGCTCCCTCAAAATTGAGACATCTGTGGCATTGTGTTGTATGAAAAAACTGCACATTTACGAGTGGCCTTTTATTGTCCCCAGCACAAGGTGCACCTGTGTAACGATCATGCTGTTTAATCAGCTTCTTGATATGCCACACCTGTCAGGTGGATGGATTATTATTATTATTATCATTATTATGCTTACTAACAGGGATATAAACAAATTTGTGCACAAAATTGGAGAGAAATAAGCTTTTTGTGCGCATGGAAATTGTCTTAAATATTTTATTTCAGCTCATGAAACACGGGACCAACACTTAACATGTTGCGTTTATTTTTTTGTTCAGTATAGTTCTAGGATTTGTCCCCCGGGAAAGATAACAGCGGACATAAAGAGAGACGAGGCAAAACTAGCCAGTTATATAATATTGTGTTGTAGGACAGCTGAGCTGACTCAAGACCAGGCAGTTTATGTACATGTATGTACATGAGGTGATGAAACGTTGAAACTAAGTTGCAAGCTACTTTCATAGCAAGGTGTTGTAGAACGAGTGTCTTATGAAACACCTTCCTGACACTGGCTCTTGCTATCTTGCCATAACTGATTTGATAGAGAAATATCAGCTGTATAGATATGATAGCCAGCTGCAGCTATCACCAGGCTATGTTAGCTAGGTGCTGTAAGCTTGGCTAAACAAGTTGGTCAGCGCAGGCTTTAGCCTACACATAGAACTGAATTAGCTGACTATCTTGAGATGGCGAGTCAGTCAGGACTGTAGAAGTCCTCAACTTCAAAACTTTGTTAGCTGTGATTGAATGGCAAAGAAACACCCAAGAAACACCCACATCAAACCACACCCCCAAGACAACTCTTGTTTGCCTTCAGTCATGCCCGGTAGCATTTCTTAATGAGCATTGATGAAAAACAAGGCCAAATCTGGAAGTGCAGTCGCCCATTAATATTGTTTTCTATGGCATATAATTGTTGGTGTAGTAATGGCCAGGGGGACCTGGGGTACCAATGTACTTGGAGGGAGTTGCTCTTAGGTGGTGTGTGATTAAAGATTTGCAGAGCTACGCCTCCCCTGTCTTAGGTGATCCTTCCCACCAAATACAGAACCGTATTGATTGGAAACAGCTTGTGTCAATTAAATAACATTTCCTAGGATTTTATACTTGCACAAACACTAGTAGATATTGATGGGAATACTGGTAAAAGCAAAGTGCTATAAAAAAAAACTGAAAAGCATGGCCCTAGATATAGTTATAAGACAATTAGCTTGAAGAAAAATAGAAGCTTAAAGATTGTAAGATTTTTTGAATTTTGCTAGAAACTCAAGCTCAAATGAATTATTTGAAGCGATAATAACTCATGTTCATTTAAAGCATTTTTAGAGTTTTATGTATGACCTCCAATGAGTTGAAATATAATTGCAAACCAATGATTTTAATATTATGTGAGGGAGATTACAAGTCTTTGCTGTCATTGTGTTGAGTTAAGTGGTCAAATCAATGTCTTGGAAAGCCATTCAGCATTCAAACATTTCAATACCAGATACCGGGGAAAAAACCCAGATACAGAATAACATACTTGCCAACTTCTTTACATATTTAAAGTGAAAGATAAAACAAGACAAGCGCTTGAATGAAAATAAAAAGTCAGTCACCTCTCATTTGCATTTGAATGTGTTATTGTGTTTCACAGTTCCTTCAGAATGTGGATGGACATGATCAGAACAAGTTGTTTCCTTCAAAGTACAGTGCTGTCAATGAATCAATCATGTAGGCTATACAAGTGGTACATTCTGATTACTATAAAGAATCAATAACCTAATCTTTAATCAGGAAAGTAAACAAAAAACTGCAGATGTATGACAGTCGACAGAAATCAGCCATTTGGCACTAACCTATTTCTCCCCTCCAATACTAAAATATGCATCTGAGTATTTATACTGTATGTACAAAGTATTTGTGTACATAATAATGTGAAAATGTATATTGCAATATTTTATACTTAAAAAAAGTTAAGTAGTAATGGACATTAAAGCTCATATTTTTGGCATATGCCATTGGAAAAATATACATCTTTAGGAAAACAAGAATCAAATAGAATATGAAAGACATTTCTGAAATAAAATATAATAGCCCTTTGAATAAGCATCTCAAACAATATAATAACTACAACTCAAAGATTAGAAAAATAACAATGCTGATGAAATATATTAATGTGGAATCTCCAATAGAAATATTACATAAAACAATTATGCTAATTAATACCATACTATAGCAGTCAACCCATGATTAATATACATCAAAACTATAAAGCTCTGGCAGTGCTACAGCTTTATAAAGCTGTGCCATACACATGCATAGAGCCGTTTTGGTTTGTGGTAGCCAATAAGAGGGCATAAATCATTTGAGAGAAAAGCAACAACGCAACAGTGAGTGTAGAGGTAGAAGTGTGGGCATAAGATTGACAGAAAATACATACTGGTATTGAATTTGATCAGAAAATCACCATCCAAAAAACATGTTCATGTTGTGCCCCTTTCCAATATTACTGTAATAGTTTTCAGCAAAGAGTTTACACATATTGCATATATTTAACCTGGCCACACTAACCAGGAGCTGCGTTGCAACCGAAGATTTTAGATTGTGAGCGACTGTACACCTCAACACCCACACTTTTCAGGCTGCCTGCATTGCAGTTGTTCTGTGCAGATTTTCAGATTTTTAAATCTTATTGATGGGGTTTCTGCAATGTTAACCATTACTCTGGCAAATACTGTCTTAACATTGACAGAACCCAATCAATATGACTTAACAATTTGATCATCTATGCAACTCTTTGTGTCGCAAGACACCCTGCTGTTCATGGTAACATCATATTGCTGAATCTACCTTCAACTAAAAAGAATACAAAATTATACAAAATATATTCTGCTAAGAAAGGCAATGAGATATAAAGCGATTGAGGTGCTAATGGACACTGTTTGTGAGCAAAATATTTTAGCTGAGCCAAGGATATAAACTGGGCAAGGTTTCACAGCAATGGAATTTACCGTAATTTTCGGATTATAAGCTGCGCCTTTTTTCCAATTTTTCGACCCTGCGGCTTATATAACGGTGCGGCTAATCTATGGATTTTTACAGCTAACGGCCACTAGAAGACCTCCTAAATCTATGGATTTGACAGGTTACAGTCCACCAACTTTAACTCTATGGGCTCTATGACCGGTCCGCGCCCCCCACCTTTAAGCGGCGGGCTCCAGCAGGAAAAGCTGGAGGCCGGAAAAGAGTGAGACAGGTAGCACGCAAAAGTAAAAGTGGAACCGAGAGTGGTACGAGAGACAGAACGAGAGCAAGACAGACAGACATTACGAGAGCGAGACAGTTTGTCTCTTTCCCGACAATCCCCTCTGTGCACGAACCCTTACATATGGTAATTAAACATTAAAACCACCTGCGGCTTATAGTCCAGTGCGGCTTATATATGTACACATCATTCAATTTAGCTGCTGCGGCTTATACTCCGGTGCGCCTTATAGTGCGGAAAATACGGTACATTTTACGAGTGTTTTAACAATGCATCGTTCCTAATGCTCGAAGATGTAACAAGTGTTTCCCAAAACACCACGTAGAGGTGCTAAGTGCATCGTTGCAGCAGAAAGGAACAATGTGGATCATTAAATAATAAATAGGATGGCAGTGCAGCTCTTGGATCAGCTTTCACTATTCAAATGTGTACAACACTAACACTGAATCAGCTGCTGAGGTCTGAGTTCAATTTGATCATAGAAATTACTGGTGATTTGCATCTGGCACTGAGCTGGGCGCTGGAGGAAGGTGTGCTGTCCTAAAACATTACATGATTCCCTTATAATTTCCTAATCCTACATATGATATAGCTGAACGTTCTGTGAAGTACAGCACAATCCTAGGACAAAACATACTATTTCTGAAACCCCTGACAAATACTGTTGAATGCCTGAGCATGAGAACATTTCATTTTCCGATTGATCGCTATGTTTAAGAGGATGAGCCAAACTTCTGTTGGCGTCTCCATATTCTCAGAATGGGGGACAGCTATGGTCCCATGGGAAACGGAATACGACCCAGGTGTTACTCCACCGGGTTAATGGGAATCTGAATGAAGGGTTTGACAAAGTAATAATACTATATCTTGTGTCCACATCCTTGGCTGAGCTAGAATCAGAATCATACATGAGCCTGAACACAAAGATTTTCAAGTGTCTGCACAGTATGAATCTCAACACAACTTCATACTGTGAATAATTATTTGCTTTCTCTCACAGTGCATTAACTGCAGAAATATATGACGTAGTGTATTTAAAAATGTTCATGAGTAATTGCAAACGAGAAGAAAATAAATAATGATAGTACCTGACGTTTCAGCAAAATCATGTTTGTAGAAACTAAATCTAATAGGAATTCGTCAAAATGAACATTAACAATTTATGAGATAGGCTACCTAGGGCTTAGTTAATCTTTAAAAGCAATGCATTTTGAACCTGGGCAACAAATGCAGTATAGTTATTGTATGCAAGAAGTTGGCTGACTGAATTATTTAAAAAATCACAAGAATAACCATTCAATAATTGCAATTAAAGTGCTAATTATTTTTGGAAATTCTTCCTGATCTGCGTGGATTGGATTTGATTATGTTTTCACTGGACATGCAGGACCGGAGAAAGTACTTGTCAGGACTGGTCTTTTGCTTGTCTATTTGTTGCTGTTCCCTGTCAAACTGTCTTTGAAGATTCAACGCTAGCTCTCTGTCCTCTCTCTCTTGCTGTACCTGTTGAATGTACAGGTCAGTCTGTGCACACTCTATATTGAAACCATCTTGGCTCTGTGATATTGGCCTCTTGAGTCCAGACTCTGTCTCCTCCAGGTGTTTGGTCTTCTGGCTCCTCTTCTTGCCCCTCCTTGAGGTAGGTCGGTTCTGGGCACAGTTTCTATTGTCCCAACTCTTTCCTCTGATCCTGTGAGTCCTTTGATTTAAGTTTGCAACTCCTTACACTGGCATTCATATCATGTGGGACTAATGTCAGATTTTGATGAATTGAAGTTGGTCCACAATGTGATTCAGGTACCACCACAGACTCAGAAGAAACCCCACATTCTTTTACAGTCTCCTCACTGGTTAAAGCTACAAATGGAGTATGAAACTTTGTGAATTGTTTTTGATGGAAGGTGGTCTCTCCAATGGCCTGGTCAAATATCAGTCTTCGTTTATTATGTATGCAAGTTCTTTCATTCTCTTGCCCAGAGGAATCAGTCTTGGCACACATACCCAAGTGTTCTTTTCCCTTATTTGCTGCTGGAGCGCAGCTACAGGGCTTGCCGTGCTTCTCCTCTATGGGGCTTGGTTTGAAGACAAGGTCCTCGTTCATGGGGCTGGTCAAGGTGCCCTTCGAGGTCACTTTGACAGACTGACGGTCCACCTCGATCTGCTTCCATTTCTGGAGGATTGTAGGGCTGGCTTCATAGCTGGTGAGCCTCTGCAGGCTGCGGAATAAGTTCCGGGGGGTGGACTTCACAATTGTGGGTTCCATCACTCGGCCGTCAGGTAGTCGCTTTGGTGGGGTGCACGGCGAGCACACTATTGGCTTGAAGTGATTCAGCTCCTCAGAGATACTGTCATTGCTCTCAGGGCTAATGGACCTCTCCTGTTTCGACTGGGGGACCATAAAAGGTGTTGATGATGCCATGATGACACCTCGCCAGCTATGCCTCTTGTCTTGGACAATGATGGGTGCCGAAAGAGATCGGCTGTTCTCAGAGGACAGAAGGATTCCTGCATTGTAGCTGTGAGCAATACTTGCCTGTACAGAGACAACAAACCAACAAAAACAATAAGAGCAATGTTTTAAAGGTCACGAACAGTCAAAATCATATTTTTCTTGGAATGTGATGATTTTTGGATGAAACCAGATCAAAGTATGATGACCAAAGCATGAAAAATGACAGTTGCTTCTACATTGATCAAGTTTGATCTTAAAGTTACTTGTCCCCTCCCCCATGTCAAATACTTAGATTCAGGAGGGGTGATTATTAAAGGGATAGGGTGACATCACCAATGTTCCCTCAAATTTTAGGTCTTGTGAGCGTAAACTGGAATGTTGTGAGAATTTTGGCAACCTCCCGCTCCTGTTTACAGTGAACACTAAGGCTGTACAACCATGGGCCAAATAGGTGACTGTAAATTGCATTGTATTGTGTTGTATGATGCAAGAAACCACTTTACAAAATAAAATACATTATTATTACCATACAGAGAATTAGACAATGTAGGCTACACCTCTGCATATTGGCTTATTTGCATATTCAAGCCTGTCTCAAAATACAACACTGTCCCTTTAATTAAGACATAAGCTTTTTACCTGACTCGCTTTCAAAGACAGCTTGAAATGTAGCCTACAGGTTTTGTACTCTTGTAGGAAGCAGTAACTCTCCATTGCTGACCTATACTTATCTATAACTAGGCTAATAACTCGCTAACTAGCAAAGAATATCAACAAATGTTCACACGCATGGCTCTGATCTGAACTGATCTGAAAAGCACATTAATTCACTTGCAGGTGATTAAAAGACAAGGGACTGATATAATGTTGATTCGATCACAGAAAAAAATTCTATATAGTGCAAACTAATGCGGTGAACTCAGTTAAGTTCAATCTCTTGCGCCTCTGCGCGGCCTGGCATTTCTTCTGCCCGGCAGTCCTGGAGGTGGTGCGCCGCCTTGCACAGGCGCAGCTTAGAGGGAACATTGGACATCAACCTAACTCTCATTTTAATGCACCAATGGTACCTAATTCTCTTACCTAATTTAAATAAGTACCGCCTTGTAACCAACAGCTGAGAAGGCGTGTTTGCAGAGGGGCGTGGTTTGTATACAGTGCCTTCAGAAAGTATTCATACCCCTGGACTTATTCCACATTTTGTTGTGTTACAGCCCGAATTCAAAATTTAATAGATATTTTTTCTCACCCATCTACACACAATACCCCAAAATAACAAAGTGAAAACATGTTTTTAGACATTTTTGCAAATGTATTGAAAATGAAATACATGACCAAAAGTATGTTGACACCTGCTCGTCAAACATCTCATTCCAAAATCATGGGCATTAACCTGGAGTTGGTCCCCCCTTTGCTGCTATAACAGCCTCCACTCTTCTGGGAAGGCTTTCCACTAGATGTTGGAACATTGCTGCAGGGACTTGCTTCCATTCAGCCACAAGAGCATTAGTGAGGTCGGACACTGCTGTTGGAAGATTAGGTAAGGCTCACAGTTGGTGTTCCAATTCATCCCAAAGGTGTTCGATGGGGTTGAGGTCAGGACTCTGTGCAGGCCAGTCAAGATCTTCCACACTGATCTCGACAAACCATTTCTGTATGGACCTCGCTTTGTGCATGGATGCATTGTCATGCTGAAACAGGAAAGGGCCTTCCCCAAACTGTTGCCACAAATTTGGAAGCACAGAATCATCTAGAATGTCGTTGTATGCTGTACCGTTAAGATTTCCCTTCACTGGAACTAAGGGGCCTAGCCCAAACTATGTAAAACAGCCCCAGACCATTATTCCTCCTCCACCTAACTTTAAAGTTGGCACTATGCACTGGGGCATGTAGCTTTCTCCTGCCATCCGACAAACCCAGATTTGTCCGTCGGACTGCCAGAGGGTGAAGGGTGATTCATCCCTCCATAGAACGGGTTTCCACTGCTCCAGAGTCCAATGGCAGCGAGCTTTACACCACTCCAGCCGACGTGTGGCATTGCGCATGGTGATCTTTGGCTTGTGTGCAGCTGCTAGGCCATGGAAACCCATTTCATGAAGCTCCCGGTGAACAGTTAAAATCTGTCAAGTTGGTAGTTGATCACTGCTAGACAGCCATTTTCAAGTCTTGCCATAGATTTTCAAGCCAATTTAAGTAAAAAATGTAACTAATCCCCTCAGGAACATTTAATGTTGTCTTGGTAAGCAACTCCAGTGTATATTTGGCCTTGTATTTTAGGTTATTGTCCTGCTGAAAGGTGAATTTGTCTCCCAGTGTCTGTTGGAAAGCAGACTCAACCAGGTTTTCGTCTAGGATTTTGTCTGTGCTTAGCTCTATTCTGTTTCTTTTTATCCAAAAAAAACCTCCCTAGTCCTTGCCGATGACAAGCATACCCATAACATGATGCAGCCACCACCATGCTTGAAAATATGAAGAGTGGCACTCAGTGATGTGTTGTTTTGGATTTGCCCCAAACATAACGCTTTGTATTCAGGACATAAAGTTCATTTCTTTGCCACATTTTTTAAAATGTTATGCCTTATTGCAAACAGGATGCATGTTTTGGAAATTTCTGCACAGACTTCCTTCTTTTCACTCTGTCATTTAGATTAGTATTGTGGAGTAACAATGTTTTTGATCCATTCTCAGTTCTCTCTTATCACAGCCATTAAACTCTAATTGTTTTAAAGTCAATCACTGATCGGTTTCCTTCCTCTACGGCAACTGAGTTAGGAAGGACGCCTGTATCTTTGTAGTGACTGGGTGTTAATACACCATCCAAAGTATAATTAATAACTTCACCATGCTCAAAGGGATATTCATTGTCTGCTTTTATTTTTTACCAATCTACCAATAGGAGCCCTTTTTGTGAGGCATTGGAAAACCTCCTTGGTCTTTGTGGTTGAATCTGTATTTGAAATTCACTGATCGACTGAGGGACCTTACAGATAATTGTATGTGTGAGGTACAGAGATGGGGTAATCATTCAAAACTCATGTTCAACACTATTATTGCACAGAGTCCATTGCAACTTATGTGACTTGTTAAGCAAATGTTTACTGAACTTATTTAGGCTTGCCATAACAAAGGGGTTTAATACTTATTGACTCAAGACATTTCAGCTTTCAATTTGTAATTAATTTGTAAACATTTTAAAATTATATATTTCCACTTCGAGATTATGGGGTATTGTGTGTAGGCCAGTGACACAAAAACTCAATTTAATCCATTTTAAATTCAGGCTGTAACACAACAAAATGTGTAAAAAGTTGAGGGGTGTGAATACATTCTGAAGGCACTGTAGGTAGATAGCTACTCTACTGGTGCCAACATTTGACTGTAGGGTGTCTGCAAATATTATTAAAAGTTTATGCTATTCATTTTTTTATTGTTTAATTTTAGTCATTTAGCAGACGCTCTTATCCAGAGCGACTTACTACTAATCTACGGCAAAGATACCTATACAGTGCATTCGGAAAGTATTCAGACCCCTTGACTTTTTCCACCTGTTGTTACAGCCTCATTCTAAAATGGATGAAATTGCTTTTTTTTCCCCCTCATCAATCTACACACAATACCCCATAATGACAAAGCAAAAACAGGTTTAGAAATTTTAGCAAATGTATTAAAAATAAAAAACTGAAATATTACATTTACATAAGTATTCAGACCCTTTACTCAGTATTTTGCTGAAGCACCTTTTGGCAGCGATTACAGCTTCGAATCTTCTTGAGTATGACGCTACAAGCTTGGCCCACCTGTATTTGGGGAGTTTTTCCCGTTCTTCTCTGCAGATCCTCTCAAGCTCCATCAGGTTGGATGGGGAGCGTCGCTGCACAGCTATTTTCAGGTCTCTCCAGAGATGTTCGATCGGGTTCAAGTCCGGGCTCTGGCTGGGCCACTCAAGGACATTCAGAGACTTGTCCCAAAGCCACTCCTGCGTTGTCTTGGCTGTGTGCTTAGGGTCGTTGTCCTGTTGGAAGGTGAACCTTTGCCCCAGTCTGAGGTCTTGAGCTCTGGAGCAGGTTTTCATCAAGGATCTCTCTGTACTTTGCTCCGTTCATCTTTCCCTTGATCCTAACTAGTCTCCCAGTCCCTGCCGCTGAAAAACATCCCCCCATGCTTCACCGTAGGGATGGTGCCAGGTTTCCTCCTGTGACGCTTGGCATTCAGGCCAAAGAGTTCAATCTTGTTTCTCATGGTCTGAGAGTCCTTCAGGTGCCCTTTGGCAAACTCCAAGCGGGCTGTCATGTGCCTTTTACTGAGGAGTGGCTTCCGTCTGGCCACTCTACCATAAAGGCCTGATTGGTGGAGTGCTGCAGAGATGGTTGTCCTTCTGGAAGGTTCTCCCATCTCCAAAGAGGAACTCTGGAGCTCTGTCAAAGTGACCATTGGGTTCTTGGTCACCTCCCTGACCAAGGCCCTTCTCCCCCAAGTGCTCAGTTTGACCGGGCGACCAGCTCTAGGAAGGGTCTTGGTGGTTCCAAACTTCTTCCATTTAAGAATGTTGGAGGCCACTGTGTTCTTGGGGACCTTCAATGCTGCAGAAATGTTTTGGTACTCTTCCCCAGATCTGTGCCTCGACACAATCCTGTCTCTGAGCTTTACGGACAATTCCTTTGACCTCATGGCATGGTTTTTGCTCTGACATGCACTGCCAACTGTGGGACCTTATATAGACAGGTGGGTGCCTTTCTAAATCATGTCCAAACAATTGAATTTACACATGTGGACTCCAATCAAGTTGTAGAAACATGTCAAGGATGATCAACGGAAACAGAATGCACCTGAGCTCAATTTCGAGTCTCATAGCAAAGGGTCTGAATACTTATGTAAATAAGGTATCTGTTTTTTATTTGTAATAAAATGTGAAAAAAAATCTAAAAAACTGTTTTAGCTTTGTCATTATGGGGTATTGTGTGTAGATTGATGAGGAATTTTTATTTATCTAATCAATTTTAGAGATAAGGCTGTAACGTAACAAAATGTGGAAAAAGTCAAGGGGTCTGAATACTTTCCGAATGCACTGTATGTCTCCCCTTTCATCTGTGTCTGGTGTTAGCTAGTTACTGGCTAGCTAGGTCTTCAGCCAGCATGGAACAAAAGGGGGGGGGGGGGTCGTTCAAAACTATGACGCAGTTGTCATGTCAACACATCCGTTAGTGCGGCTGTGAACCGCATCACAAGAGACATGCCAATTTCAATGTTGTTTGAGTTCCTTTGTGTAACACCCAATTTGTTTGAGAAGATTTGACTGCAACACTGCTCACTGCATCCAAGTTTCTTGACATAGGTGTTTCAAAGAGCTGTCAGTCTCAAGGCGAGCTCATGAATATAAGCTCCCCGCCCACTCAGCCTCTTTTCAAACTTCCTGGTAGTTAGCCATGAAAGGGAAATTAGCCATGAGAGAAAAAAAAAAATATCTAAAATGTTTAGCATTTCTATCCCCCAAATATATTAAGGGGTCTACAGTATTTTAGTCACTCAAATGGCTACTTTACATGGGAATCAGAATGACTGTTTGGGACCTTAAAGCACTTCAAACAGCTCTGACCATTTTAGGGATTAAAACCTTCCTTTAAAAGCACAGCTTCATACCTTGTCCAGTCCAGGAAGATGAGTAGACAACCTTATTTTTCGCCTTCCCTCCTCTGTATCAGTACAGCTCTGGCTTCTCTGCACCACATTGGTCTGTAGACCTCTGATGGAAAAGGGGACTGAGTAAATAACTGAATTAAAATCGCTAAAAACATTCAATGTAACATCAATTGTTCAATGGCTTTGCAAATAATCAACACTGCAGCATTAACAAAAAAAAAATTTTGCAACATGATTGTTCATTACTGTTATATGAGAACATTATTGCACAGTTACAAGCAGCCCTCAATGTAAAAAATAAACAAACGCTGAGATCTTTGTTCTTCTAACAAACGCAGAAACATTTCTGGTTCTCTTCCCAATGGGTTCTTCATTCTCCGAGTCTGACAGCAACCCATAGAACTGGAAGAGAGGGTTGCATTTCTCAGCATCATGTTTACACTTATTCATCAATATGTTGGCATACCATTCTGAGCAACAATCTATTCAACAATCTATTCATAAGAGGGTTACAAGATAAACAAACGTACAGGATCTTGAAAGCGCTTGAGAGTTCCACATCCCTCTCTGTGGTGGAGGACTTTCCTCCTCCCCTCTTCTTTCTCTTCATTCATTGGTACCTGAAAAAGAAAAATCACTTCTTACTGATAGTAACTGAACCCATGGTTGTTTAAAATCAATGTGTTGTGTGCCCATCTACAACAATGGAATTTGTGATAGGAATAAAATTATATCAATATATTTTGTATTTTCTCTAATCCAAGTCTCAAACACATAGTTATCTCCTTTTGAGGGGTTTAGGGGTATTGTACAATGTTTAAAAGGATGCACTATGGGACACAAAACCTCTACTATTGTATATAAATAATCAACAATTATTAACCCATATTACAATATTACCTTTACTTTTTGCTTTCCATACTCCAGTCGGATCTCTCCTGATACCTGAGCAGGCGTGCGGAAAATCTCTGGAGAAAAAAAAATGTTAATTATAAAAATCACTCAAAAAGATTCTGAATTCAAGAGCTGGGTCAAAAAGGTTTGGGAACCACTGTATAGAACAGGTATACACACAATTCTATAACATATTACATTTAAAGACACCCCAGACAGTACAGATTGTGTCAATAGAGTAGCTCCTCCCACAAAAAGCTCCACAAGTCTGGGCAAGTCACAGCGAAACTTTCTATGCCTAGACAAGTCTGGTATATCAAAACTGACTGGTCTGGTTCTCCTGCCTTGTGCAAGAGCCTATTGGTTCAATAGAATGACCATCAAAGACGGGAGAACGCATAGCGCCGAGTTGAATAGCATTTGTTACAATGTAACAGAAACCCTTCTAATTCCTAATTATATCGTTGTAACAACAAAATAGCACACTATTTTAAACTAGAACAAGACTTTCAACATGAAACTGTATGCACTGCAGTTGTGTTACCAACACGGAATGACAGCACCGCTGTCAGTTACAATGTTTGCCGCGAATGAAAATGATAGGCCAATATGCTTTCCTACTTTGTGTTCGTGATCATAACCTATAATTGGAAACAAATTAAGTAGACTGGACAAAATCCTTACGACATAAACAAATGTATGCACCCTAACCCAATACAACACCAAACAGCATAGACTAAAACGGAATTGTAATAACTGTTGTTGTCAAAAAAGCATACCTTCTCCACCAGTCTCACAGTCTCTCTGCTCCATTCTCCTCTTGCATCGTTGTGGATAACTCTTTCTAACCATTTCCCAGAGTTCGATGTTAACTAGGCTTTTCTCCCGGGACTGTTTACGGGCCCAGCTGGATACTCGCAGCCGGCAGAGGGGACAGCACAAACTGGTAAATTCCACTGTCCGCTTGAAACAGTGCAGACACACCGAGTGGCTACATGGCATAGTTACGGGCTCTAATAAAATCTCCGAACAAACCGGACACCTTGCCTCCTCCAGGGTCAGCAGCTGTGAAGGTGTCCGAGTTTTCAGCATATCGGCGGGCCTGGTTTTGCATTTGTGACCCAATCCACTAGTAGATCTGGCGGAACCTGTCGCCGCCATTTTCATTGGTCTCTCCCTACCAAAGATGGTGGATACATGGAGATACGTTACTCAGGCCGTTTACCATTGAAAACAATGGTCAGTTCTGGTCTGCTTAAGGGGGTGGTTCCAGAGACACCAGTGCGATAGCAGCTCGGTCAGGTCTACTTAGTTCATTGAGTCATGCAAAGACCTTTTGGGGAGCATGTGCTCAAACTAAAAAAATGGCACCCCCAAAAAGAAATTCCCCCTACCGCGATCACGGATTTGTTGAGCAATTATTACAAGAAGAGGGGAAAGAAGCACAATCTGATTAGCAAAACTATTTTGAACTGGAATAAATGCTGCACTTAATAACAATGATCAACTCAATTCCAGTCAAAATAGAAGATTGTAAGAAATACTGTAGCCTACCATTACTATATCCAACCCAACTCCATTTGTTGCCACTATCATGTATTCAAACATTTTGACCAGCAACCCCCAAAAGAGAGTGGTAAAACACTTGTGACCCCCGTGCATGCACGCACGTGTGCACACGTGAACACACGTGAACATGACCCCACAATGCTGCCCAAATGTATAGCCTGTCATTACAGCCATAAACAGTTATGCATTTTGAAAACTCAAGATAGGCTACAGAAATATAATGCGTTTAACACCTGCATTTGGAGCTGAAACCCATTAATGTTAGCAGCCAATATAGAGTAGGGATATATCATGTCACTTCTCTGAAGTCCAGAGCAAGCAAAATCATACAGCCTACTTGTAGCAGAGGTTGCAGTATTGGATGCAAAGCATATTCTGTCTGCACCATGCCATCACTTTGGAGGGCAGCCTGTCTGCAGAGTGCTAGTTCAAGGTGCCAGCCTGTAAACCCTGTTCTTTCTCACAAATAATGTAATAACGTCGCCAGAATATGTTACATCTTCATCCCATAATATTGAAGGCAATGCGATTTTACAGATGTTTATCTTTAGTCATATAGCCAGTAGCCACCCAAACTAGGTCTATCTGAAATATTAAAATGATCAATCAAATCGTCAGGTAGCCTATTGTTCTGGCTATGAGTGAGTAGTACATTTCTAAACTGTATTTTATATTTATGATAACGTAGGCCTACTCTGTTTTTGCCTGGAAAAACTGGAGGAAAGAAACAAGTTCTTTCTGGTCACTAATCTGGATATGAACACATGCATTTGCGCGCCAATAGAGATGAATGGTCATTGGTCAACAATCAAGACACGCGTTTGGTTCTCAAGCATAGATGATAATTTAACGACGATTTGCTTACAGTGGGTTCAGAATAACAAGGACAAAAACATTTATAGCAATTTTTTTTCTACTACCACCGAAAAGGGCACTGGAAGGACAAAGGGGCATTTGCTCTGCACAGGAAGAGCCCTATCTGTGCACGTGCCTGATTGACTGTAATTTAATCCGGAAAAATGAGGCAGTGGGGTGTCTCGCTTCCTCTTCAGTCTGCGTCCCTATCTCTAGGTTTGAAAACAATCCCCGCCCAGTCACTCAACGCATCAACCGCAGCGGAATACAAATTGGGTGTGCTTGATTTAGCTTGCCGTATGAGCGGAGTTCGCGCCTTGGAATAGCCTACACGTGCCGCCCTAGTGCAGGGTTTCCCAAACTCACCCCAAGTGGTGTACGTTTTGGTTTTTGCCCTAGCGCTACACAGCCGATTCAAGTAATCAACTCAAATCAAATCAAATTTTATTGGCCACATGCGCCGAATACAACAGGTGCAGACATTACAGTGAAATACTTACTTACAGCCCTTAACCAACAGTGCATTTATTTTTAACAAAAAAAGTAAAAATAAAACAACAACAAAAAAAGTGTTGAGAAAAAAAGAGCAGAAGTAAAATAAAATAACAGTAGGGAGGCTATATATACAGGGGGGTACCGGTGCAGAGTCAATGTGCGGGGGCACCGGCTAGTTGAGGTAGTTGAAGTAATATGTACATGTGGGTAGAGTTAAAGTGACTATGCATAAATACTTAACAGAGTAGCAGCAGCGTAAAAGGATGGGGTGGGGGGGCAGTGCAAATAGTCCGGGTAGCCATGATTAGCTGTTCAGGAGTCTTATGGCTTGGGGTAGAAGCTGTTGAGAAGTCTTTTGGACCTAGACTTGGCACTCCGGTACCGCTTGCCATGCGGTAGCAGAGAGAACAGTCTATGACTAGGGTGGCTGGAGTCTTTGACAATTTTGAGGGCCTTCCTCTGACACCGCCTGGTATAGAGGTCCTGGATGGCAGGAAGCTTGGCCCCAGTGATGTACTGGGCCGTACGCACTACCCTCTGTAGTGCCTTGCGGTCGGAGGCCAAGCAGTTGCCATACCAGGCGGTGATGCAACCAGTCAGGATGCTCTCGATGGTGCAGCTGTAGAATTTTTTGAGGATCTGAGGACCCATGCCAAATCTTTTCAGTCTCCTGAGGGGGAATAGGCTTTGTCGTGCCCTCTTCACGACTGTCTTGGTGTGTTTGGAACATGATAGTTCGTTGGTGATGTGGACACCAAGGAACTTGAAGCTCTCAACCTGTTCCACTACAGCCCCATCGATGAGAATGGGGGCGTGCTCAGTCCTCTTTTTTTTCCTGTAGTCCACAATCATCTCCTTTGTCTTGGTCACGTTGAGGGAGAGGTTGTTGTCCAGGCACCACACGGCCAGGTCTCTGACCTCCTCCCTATAGGCTGTCTCATCGTTGTCTGTGATCAGACCTACCACTGTTGTGTCGTCGGCAAACTTAATGATGGTGTTGGAGTCGTGCCTGGCCATGCAGTCATGGGTGAACAGGGAGTACAGGAGGGGACTGAGCACGCACCCCTGAGGGGCCCCCGTGTTGAGGATCAGTGTGGCAGATGTGTTGTTACCTACCCTTACCACCTGGGGGCGGCCCGTCAGGAAGTCCAGGATCCAGTTGCAGAGGGAGGTGTTTAGTCCCAGGATCCTTAGCTTAGTGATGAGCTTTGAGGGCACTATGGTGTTGAACGCTGAGCTGTAGTCAATGAATAGCATTCTCACGTAGGTGTTCCTCTTGTCCAGGTGGGAAAGGGCAGTGTGGAGTGCAATAGAGATTGCATCATCTGTGGATCTGTTGGGGCGGTATGCAAATTGGAGTGGGTCTAGGGTTTCTGGGATAATGCTGTTGATGTGAGCCATGACCAGCCTTTCAAAGTACTTCATGGCTACAGACGTCAGTGCTACGGGTCGGTAGTCATTTAGGCAGGTTATCTTAGAGTCCTTGGGCACGGGGACTATGGTGGTCTGCTTGAAACATGTTGGTATTACAGACTCAGTCAGGGACATGTTGAAAATGTCAGTGAAGACACTTGCCAGTTGGTCAGCACATGCTCGGAGTACACGTCCTGGTAATCCGTCTGGCCCTGCGGCCTTGTGAATGTTGACCTGCTTAAAAGTCTTACTCACATCGGCTACGGAGAGCGTGATCACATAGTCATCCGGAACAGCTGGTGCTCTCATGCATGCTTCAGTGTTGCTTGCCTCGAAGCGAGCATAGAAGTGGTTTAGCTCGTCTGGTAGGCTTGTGTCACTGGTCATCAAGCTTCGATCATTTGAATCAGCTGTGTAGTGTTAGGGCAAAACCCAAAACATGCACCCCTTGGAGTCCCGTGGTCCAAGTTTGGGCAATTATTTCCTTGTGCAAACTCCACCTTCCCAGCAAGCCACAGGTAGGCTACTGAAAAAGCCTATAGAGTCACAGTACACAAAAAACCTAGCGGTCAAACAAGGAAATTGTTCCAATCATTCAATTTTCCCATTGCGATTTTAGTAACACTTAAAATAAGCGCAGTGTTTTGTGTAGGCTTACCCTGGCGTGACGTTTTGATAACCGTGTAAATCTCTCTAGGACAAGGTGACTTTTATCAATATATTCACCTGTATTTACCCCCCAAAACTGAAATGCTAATTATCTGCTGAAGTGGCTATCATAAGAACTACAAAAGCCATGACGATCTGGAAGAGACTGCCGAATCGAGGCAAATGTAAGAATCTTTGGATTAACTATCTAATGTTGGCTAAATTTAGTAATGAATAAATTGGCCAAAAAAATATTAATTGACAATTCTGTGCACAATACCTGTTAGCAAAGGTGTCAGCTAGAGATGACGTGCAGGAAGTGGTGGGAAAAGTACCCAATCATCATCCTTGGGTAAAAGTAAAGATACCTTAATAGAAAATGACTCAAGTAAAAGTGAGTTACACAGTAAAATACTACTTGAGTAAAAGTCTAAAAGTATTTGGTTTTAAATATACTTAAGTATCAAAAGTAAAAATAAAGTATAAATCATTTAAAATTATTGCATAAATCGTGCATGCATTGGATTGCAATGCTGGTTCGGTAAAATAATCCAGTCCAGTTTAATGAATTACAGTGTAGGCTAATCCAAGTGTAGGCTATGACACAATGTACATGGAGAAAAGGATAAAACATGGTCAGCGGCATATAAAAATAGTGGCAAGAAGTCTCCCGGTGAATGGAGAAGTTGTCCATGGTGCTGTCATTTAAGGTGCTTTATTTACCCTGTTCATAATTAGCACAGGACGGTTGCATTTTGACTTCTGCTCAGATGGATGAAGCCAGCGGGGAACACATGCAGCACACAGACACCACCAACTACAGACCTACCGCATATCTTACTTGCAGTGGTGTAGTGCTATTTTTTTAGATGAGTGAGTGCAAAAAATATGCAAATGACATAATTTCCTCAATCAAAGTTTGTACAGACAGATCTTTTTTTTTTTTACCTTTATTTAACCAGGTAGGCCAGTTGAGAACATGTTCTCATTTACAACTGACCTGGCCAAGATAAAGCAAAGCAGTGTGATAAAAACAACAACAACACAGAGTTACAAGTGCCTATTGAATAGCCTATCATGGCTCTCCCACCCTGTTCCTGGAGTGCTACTGTCCTGTAGGGCTTCAGTCCAACCCCAGTTGTAACTAACCCGATTCATTTTATAAACCAGCTAATTATTAGAATCAAGTGCGCTAGATTAGGGTTGGAATGAAAACCTACGGGATGGTAGTTCTCCAGGAACAGGGTTAGAGAGCCCTATTATAAAATATGCATAAAAAGCATCCTCCAATTACAATATTTGCCTATGCTGGTAGATGTTTTAAATCTACCTGCCACATTGGCTGATGTACCAAAAAGAAAATGTTTGGCCCTGGCCGTTAGCAAGTGGTGGCACTCAAAAAGGTCAAGGCGACCATTCTTCAGTGACTGAAGAGGGAGGGTGAAGCAGAGAAAGTGAATGCTGGGGAACACACACACATTCTTTATTGTATATTATTGTGTTATGTTGTTTAATGGGGCAGCTGGTGGTGGAATGTAATGTCGCTAACTTAAGTTCATTCAGTAACCAGTTCAAAATAACATTGTTCTCTCTTAGATATATTGTATACATGGGGTTAACATGTTCACTTAATAATAATAATAATAATAAAGAATGTATTGGATGTTTGTCTGTTTTCATTAAGATGCTAAAAGGTTTTTTCTTAACAAATGAAATGTATGTAATATAGACTGTCTGTATCTGTCTCAGAAATACACCAATTACTTTAAAAGCACTGCGAATGACCTAGACCCATGTTGGCATATCAAAACATACAAAAATAAGTATTTTAATTTTGGACGGTTCAAGTTCAGTTTAGGGAAATTTGAAATTGCACTTCGGGATGGTGAGGAAAAAAGTTAGTCGAGAGCCCTGGAAACAGCAGTCATTAGGCGCAGGAGAAAAACTGAAGAGATTTAGAAGACGTGGGCGACACAGCATCTGAAAGAGAGAAAGAGTTATTAATAGTAGTACTTTACATTGGCAGCCACTAAATCAATATTCAACACAACATTACAGCATTTTGAAAAGTACACAACGTAGCTCTCAAAAACAGAGCCTATGCATCACATTTTATGTGCACACTACTACAGTCATTTTATAACATTAGTCAAGGTAACAAACATACACAAATCCTTTAGCACATCCAAAAGGTCCAAATGGTAGTTCTGCTGACAGGCAGACAGCACGGCAGACCCCACTGTAGTTTGAGCATCCCCATGGAATTGGAAATGCAGCTGCCTCATTTACATCACCTGTCATTTAAAAAACAGGAATATTTTTTTTTTTTGCATTTGTATAATTTTAAGTATTTTCATTTCATTCAATTACCTTTCACACTTTCATGAAATGTAGGTACAGTATTATAAATAGTTTCTTATATGTTTTTAGCAATTACGTATATCGCCAGAGAAAATGTATCTGCTGAGCAACTATTAATAGTTTCACAGTTTACAGTTTTGTAACAGTTTAAAGACATGCAAATTATGGTCTGTGGTAAAACTAAATAGCAAAATATCACTCAAACAGCTAGATGAGTCAATCATAATTTCAGTAATTCTGACCTTGTCTGTTTCACAAGAGGGTAGTTTTCAAGACTTACATGCAATGGCCAAGAACGCGAGGAGCACCAAGAGCATCGTGCAGTGATATTTCATGATGATTTGCTGATGTTGACTGTTCTTTAGAATAGTTGCAATGCGACAGTTTCTCTCAGGTTTAGTCTATTCTTTGCAATCAGTCCCAGTTAACTTAATAAGACTAGTAGTCATGAGTCAGAGCGTGTGCTTCAAATAAGGAGGTGAAAAAACTGACCTGGAACATGGGGACCAGTGGGCAGTACATGTTGAATTGAATCGTATCATGTGTAATTACATTAGCCTACTCCTAGACCTGCCCTTCTTGTTTGAATAATGTTACAGAGCTACTAGTGAAAGAAAACATTGATTCCACTCAATGTAAGACGTATGTCTCCCCACTTAATTTAAACACTCAAGGAACCAATCAGGGCTGCATGACAATCATCTAAATTGACTCCCTCATTCCATTCCTTTCATCTGCACTGATTTATAAATACTACCAGTCCTGTTTTTTCAGGTCAGTGTAGATGGAGGGAAATTGACATGAAGGTAGATACCACCTCTACCCCCAACACCCAGGCCTGGTTCAGGTACTTATGAAATCAACAGTGGTGTAAAGTACTTCAGTAAAAATACTTTAAAGTACTACTTAAGTCGTTTTCTGGGGTATCTGTACTTTACTTTACTATTTATATTTACATAAAAATATGACTACTTTTACTTTTACTTCACTACATTCATAAAGAAAATAATGTACTTTTTACTCCATACACCCAAAAGTGCTCATTACATTTTGACAGGAAAATGGTCCAATTCCCAAAATGGTCCAAATGGCCAACTCACTTAACACAAATGCTTTGTTTGTAAATTATGTCTGAGTGTTGGAGTGTGCCCCTGGCTATCCGTCAATAAAAATAAAATAATTGTATTTACTTTTGATACTTAAGTATATTTAAAACCAAATACTTTTAGACTTTTACTCAAGTAGTATTTTACTGGGTGACTTTCACTTTTACTGAATCATTTTCTATTAAGGTATCTTTACTTTTACTCAAGTATGACAATTGAGTACTTTTTCCACCACTGGAAATCAACGTATCATTGTCTCCATATCCTGGATCGAACAGGCCAGATGGGTGAAAGCAAGGGGTTCCATTAACTTTCACAAATCCACTATTTGCCTACCAGATTTTTACCTTAGGGAAAGGAGGAAGGAAGTATGTATTTTCAAAGTAAATATTTTCTCTCTGATGTTGTTCGAACAATAAAACGCCAGAGGGCGGTAACGTGGCCCTCTGTGCCTAATTTCAGAAAGGCTTGCGGTTACAACCCCGTCCAGTTGGTGGCGATAACGCACCACTCAGCTGGTTGAACCGCCACTAAAGATAAATTAACGATTCTAATATGGCTGCGCCCATGGCATGGATTTCAAGGATGTACACTATTGATTATGTCGCAAATGTCCAGTCATTAACAAACAGACTACAAATGATGATGACAATTTAACAATAGTCGACTAGCTACTTTCAACGTATCTGGCCCCCATCTACAAGTTCCCGACACTGGATAACTTTGAATCATGGAGCCAGGCATTATCAGACACAGTCAAAGGATGCAAAGTTCGTTGTGAAAGAGGCGAGCTGCATGGTCTATGTTACGGTACTTTGTCTTTCACAATAGAAACTTGGCATTGTCTGTCTTCTGAAAACCTTGAATAAGGAGTTAACACTCAATTATCATCAAAAATGCACCCTTCAAAAGCAGCAGTTGAAGTGATCCAGTTGGGTCGTATTTCCTATGCGCGTGCATTACAAGTACAGCAACTCTATATCAGGAGACATCTGGATTCTAAAGACAAATTGCACAATGCTCTGCTACTATGTGAACACCAGCCAGTCTACACCATTGGAATCAGACAGGCACTATACCCATTCGAAGAGGAGCAAAGACTCAAACTCCTTGGTGCTGAATTCTTTCGTAGCAACCGTGGCGGACTCATAACTTTCCATGGCCCAGGGCAGTTGGTGTGCTACCCAATACTCAACTTGGGCTGCTTCAAGAAAAGCGTGCGATGGTACGTCTGTGAGCTGGAGAGGACTGTCATCAACCTTTGCAGAAAGTATGGGATAAAAGCATCCACCTCCCCAGACACTGGGGTCTGGGTTGGAGACAACAAGATATGTGCCATAGGTAGGTTAACCTTCTGATTTAAAGATTACCCAATTTTTGCAACGTTTACAGCAACAATGTGTCATTCATGATATTACAGTCAAATGTTTCCTCTTTCAGGAATCCATTGTGGGAGATACATAACATCTCATGGCTTGGCACTGAACTGCAACACAGATATGGGCTGGTTTGAAAACATTGTGCCATGTGGGATTGTAGGGAAAGGTGTCACATCCCTCAGTCAAGAACTGGGAAGAGATGTCTCTATTGAAGAATCCATCCCACGACTGCTGGAAACTTTCAGTGAACAGTTTGACTGCACACTGCATCATGGAGCATATTCTAATAACAATTAATAAACAATGCACAGTAAATAAAACATGTATATTTTCACAATCATAATTTTGTTTTCTCTCTCTCTCCCGGTCTCACCTGTCAGCTAAGAAACTACGTTTCCCAAATTGTGCTAGTGAGGGCATGCGCCAGCTGTTCATGTTATGGTGGTCGCAAATGTACCACAGTCACAAAGTCATAATTATGGCTAAACCCCGCCTATTTCTAAAATGTAACAGATTTTTAAACTAACCTTAACCACACTGCTAACCTTATGCCTAACCTTAAATTAAGACTGAAAAGCTCATTTGGTTTAATGATTTTTTATGATATTGCCAATTTTGACTTTGTGGCTGTGGTAACCGAACCTCTGTCTAGCAAGGACTAAGACTATAAGTAAGTAAGGTAGCTAGCTAACTAGTTTAACATTAATAAAGACAACTTGAGTGCCAAGATAGGACACGCGTGGTAATGAGGGGCCATTATGTTGCTACGCTAGATAACTAATTATAACTATCTAGTTTGCTGTTTTTCAAGGGTGATTACGCCAGCCAGATGACCACTGCAGATAACATGGGGTAGCTAGCTAGCTCGGTCGCTCAACACCACCAGTGCCACTCTTGAGTCAAGCAAGCTAACGTTAGCTAGCGTCCTAACGGTTTGTTAGACAATACATTTCCCTTATATTTTAGCTATGTAGCTAGCTAGCTATATCGGTTTTGTTAGTTTCGGTAGCCAAAGCAAACAGACAACGTCAAGACCGATAACTAGGGACGTTCTGTCCTGCCTGGCCTATTGCTAGCTTGCTAGTTTTGTAAACTAACGTTGGTTAACGTTAGCTACGTAGCTAGCTAGCTTGATGTTTTGCTGCACAATATCCTGCTATGGAGAACAACGGAGACCTGGACCGAAATTGCCGTGCGACTTGATAATGCTATTTACCAATGGATAAGGTCAGTCAGTCAACTGTCAGTGTCATCATCATAGCTAACACTTTTTATGGACGGTGCACTAACTTGGTGCAAATGCCATATGTTCTTCAGCTCGGTGGTCTTCTGAAAGCCCTGCATTGTGCGTGTGTCCTGCCTACTAGTAGCGGTTAAGAGCGTTAGGCCAGAAACCGAAAGCATGCTGATTCGAATCCCCCAGCCGACTAGGTTAAAAATCTTAACCCGAATTGCTCCTATAAATCGCACTGCATGAATGCTAAATGACTAAAATGTAAAATAAAAATAATAATAAAATACAATTGTAATGGAGGGCAGGACCTAGCCTGGTGCCAGATCTATTACAATTGAACCTATTTTTGTTATTACAAATGGAAAAGTACAGAGCCAGGCTCATGCAGCCTCTACTCCACCCCCAACACTTGCACTGCAGCCCTAGTTTAGAAAGGGTGTAAAAGCAATGGATCTGTCTGACCCCCCACTCTCTAAATGTCAGACTCCTTAACCTGACATGGACTGTCAGATGCAGCATGGAACTGTAAGGGCCCAGATCTATGTCTAGATTTAAGAGGATATTATGTATAAACAAATGCTGATTGAACAAACAAGATTAGGCTACATTTAGCAACAACCAAGATTATATTTTTGTTCAGTTCCAGTGTAGCTCAACCATAATGCTAAAGCAGTGGGTATTGTATATTTGACTCAAGCAAGTCAGTCTTAAAAGTAAGTGGTGTGTAACTGTGTTGACATGCCATTAAGAGAGTGCTGAATGTGTAGCTAATTTGGGATGTTGTTCTTTCCCATTCAGAATCCATGGACCAGAGCTCAGATAGAGGCCCTGTTACAGGAAAGGCAAGTGGAGGAGCTGAGGCGTAGGCTGTGCTCCAGGAAGGGGTTTGGGACGGCAGGGCTGAGGGCAGCCATGGGCGCAGGCTTTGCCTCATTAATGACCATCATCCAGTCCACACAGGTTAATAATAGTTTCCTTCTATGAGCAAACTATTCTGGCACAAGTTATGTTAAATGTATAGACTCACTCAGCTATATGACATCATCGTGTACAGCAGAGCGACTTCTTGGTTACAGATCTCAACAACAACAAAATTGGCAGAGCTGAGGTCCTCGGTGGCAGTAAATCATCAACCTTGGGTTTATACAGTGCATTTGGAAAGTATCAAATCAAATCAAAATGTATTTGTCACATGCGCCGAATACAACTGGTGTAGACCTTAAAGTGAAATGCTTACTTACAAGCCCTTAACCAACAATGCAGTTTTAAGAAAGAATACCAAAAAAAAATCACACAAAAAAAATCACATAAAAAATACAATATAAAATAATACGAAATAAAAGTAACAAATAATTAAAGAGCAGCAGTAAAAAATAACAATAGCGAGGCTATATACAGGTGGTACCGGTACAGAGTCAATGTGCGGGGGCACCGGCTAGTCAAGGTAATTGGGGTAATAGGTACATGTAGGTAGAGTTGTTAAAGTGACTATGCATAGATAATAGAGTAGCAGCAGCATAAAATAGGGAGGTGGGGGGGCAATGCAAATAGTCTGGGTAGCCATTTGATTAGATGTTCAGGAGTCTTATGGCTTGGGGGTAGAAGCTGTTTAGAAGCCTCTTGGACCTAGACTTGGCGCTCCGGTACTGCTTGCCGTGCGGTAGCAGAGAGAACAGTCTATGACAAGGGTGGCTGGTGTCTTTGACAATTTTTAGGGCCTTCCTCTGACACTGCCTGGTATAGAGGTCCTGGATGGCAGGAAGCTTGGCCCCAGTGATGTACTGGGCTGTACGCACTACCCTCTGTAGTGCCTTGCAGTCGGAAGCCGAGCAGTTGCCATACCAGGCAGTGATGCAACCAGTCAGGATGCTCTCGATGGTGCAGCTGTAGAACCTTTTGAGGATCTGAGGACCCATGCCAAATCTTTTCAGTCTCCTTAGGGGGAATAGGTTTTGTCGTGCCCTCCTCACGACTGTCTTGGTGTGCTTGGACCATGGTCGTTTGTTGGTGATGGGGACACCAAGGAACTTGAAGCTCTCAACCTGCTCCACTACAGCCCCGTCGATGAGAATGGGGGCGTGCTCGGTCCTCTTCTTTTTCCTGTAGTCCACAATCATCTCCTTTGTCTTGATCACGTTGAGGGAGAGGTTGTTGTCCTGGCACCACACGGCCAGGTCTCTGACCTCCTCCCTATAGGCTGTCTCGTCGTTGTTGGTGATCAGGCCTACCACTGTTGTGTCATTGGCAAACTTAATGATGGTGTTGGAGTCGTGCCTGGCCATGCAGTCATGAGTGAACAGGGAGTACAGTAGGGGACTGAGCACCCACCCCTGAGGGGCCCCCGTGTTGACGATCAGCGTGGCAGATGTGTTGTTACCTACCCTTACCACCTGGGGGCGGCCCGTCAGGAAGTCCAAGATCCAGTTGCAGAGGGAGGTGTTTAGTCCCAGGGTCCTTAGCTTAGTGATGAGCTTTGAGGGCACTATGGTGTTGAACGCTGAGCTGTAGTCAATGAATAGCATTCTCACGTAGGTGTTCCTTTTGTCCAGGTGTGAAAGGGCAGTGTGGAGCACAATAGAGATTGCATCATCTGTGGATCTGTTGGGGCGATATGCAAATTGTAGTGGGTCTAGGGTTTCTGGGATAATGGTGTTGATGTGAGCCATGACCAGCCTTTCAAAGCACTTCATGGCTACAGACGTGAGTGCTACGGGTCGGTTGTCATTTAGGCAGGTTACCTTAGTGTTCTTGGGCACAGGGACTATGGTGGTCTGCTTGAAACATGTTGGTATTACAGAACTCAGTCAGGGACCGGTTTAAAATGTCACGTCCTGGTAATCCGTCTGCGGCCTTGTGAATGTTGACCTGTTTAAACGTCTTACTCACATCGGCTACGGAGGGCGTGATCACACAGTCATCCGGAACAGCTGATGCTCTCATGCATGTTTCAGTGTTGCCTCGAAGCGAGCATAGAAGTAATTTAGCTCGTCTGGTAGGCTCGTGTCACTGGGCAGCTCGCAGCTGTGCTTCCCTTTGTAGTCTGTAATAGTTTGCAAGCCATGCCACATCCGACGACCGTCGGAGCCGGTGTAGTATGATTCGATCTTAGTCCTGTGTTGACGCTTTGCCTGTTTGATGTTTGATGGTTTGTCAGAGGGCATAGCGGGATTTCTTATAAGCTTCCGGGTTAGAGTCCCGCTCCTTGAAAGCGGCGGCTCTACCCTTTAGCTCAGTGCGGATGTTGACTGTAATCCATGGCTTCTGGTTGGGGTATGTCCGTACAGTCACTGTGGGGACGACGTCATCGATGCACTAATTGATGAAGCCAGTGACTGATGTGGTGTACTCCTCAATGCCATCGGAAGAATCCCGGAACATATTCCAGTCTGTGCTAGCAAAACAGTCCTTTAGCTTAGCATCTGCTTCATCTGACCACTTTTTTATTGACCGAGTCACTGGTCCTTCCTGCTTTAGGTTTTGCTTGTAATCAGGAATCAGGAGGATAGATTTTCCAAATGGAGGGCGAGGTAGAGCTTTGTACGCGTCTCTGTGTGTGGAGTAAAGTGGTCTGGAGTTTTTTTCCCTCTGGTTGCACATTTAATATGCTGGTAGAAATGAGGTAAAACGGATTTAAGTTTCCCTGCATTAAAGTCCCCGGCCACTAGGAGTGCCGCCTCTGGATGAGCGTTTTCCTGTTTGCTTATGGCCGTATACAGTTCATTGAGTGCGGTCTTAGTGCCAGCATCGGTTTGTGGTGGTAAATAGAAAGCTATGAAGAATATACAGTTGAAGTCGGAAGTTTACATACACCTACCTACATACATGTAAACTCAGTTTTTGACAATTCCTGACATTTAATCCTAGTAAAAATTCCCTGCTTAGGGCAGTTAGGATCACCACTTTATTTTAAGAATGTGAAATGTCAGAATAATAGTAGAGAGAATGATTTATTTCAGCTTTTATTTCTTTCATCACATTCCCAGTGGGTCAGAAGTGCTTTGTGATGGCCACTCCAATACCTTGACTTTGTTGTCCTTAAGCCATTTTGCCACAACTTTGGAAGTATGCTTGGGGTCATTGTCCCATTTGCGACCAAGCTTTAACTTCCTGACTGATGTCTTCAGATGTTGCTTCAATATATCCACATAATTTTCCTTCCTCATGATGCCATCTATTTTGTGAAGTGCACCAGTCCCTCATGCAGCAAAGCACCCCCACAGAATGATGCTGCCACCCCCGTGCTTCACGGTTCGGATGTTGTTCTTCGGCTTGCAAGCAGCCCCCTTTTTCCTCCAAACATAACGATGGTCATTATGGCCAAACAGTTCTATTTTTGTTTCATCAGACCAGAGGACATTTCTCCAAGAAGTAAGATCTTTGTCCCCATGTGCAGTTGCAAACCGTAGTCAGGCTTTTTTATGGCGGTTTTGGAGCAGTGGCTTCTTCCTTGCTGAGCGGCCTTTCAGGTTATGTCGATATAGGACTCGTTTTACTGTGTATATAGATTATTTTGTACCTGTTTCCTCCACATCTTCACAAGGTCCTTTGCTGTTGTTCTGGGATTGATTTGCACTTTTCGCACAAAGTACGTTCATCTATAGGAGACTCCTTCCTGAGTGGTATGACGGCTGCGTGGTCCCATGGTGTTTATACTTGCGTACTATTGTTTGTATAGATGAACGTGGTACTTTCAGGCGTTTGGAAATTGCTCCCAAGGATGAACCAGACTTGTGGAGGTCTACCATTTATTTTCTGAGGTCTTGGCTGATTTCTTTTGATTTTCCCATGATGTCAAGCAAAGAGGCACTGAGTTTGAAGGTAGGCCTTGAAATACATCCACAGGTACACCTCCAATTGACTCAAATGATGTCAATTAGCCTATCCGAAGCTTCTAAAGCCATGACATAATTTTCTGGAATTTTCCAAGCTGTTTAAAGGCACAGTCAACTTAGTATATGTAAATGTCAGACCCACTGGAATTGTGATACAGTGAATTATAAGTGAAATAATTTGTCTGTAAACAATTGTTGGAAAAATTACTTGTCATGCACAAAGTAGGTGTCCAACCGACTTGCCAAAACTATAGTTTGTTAACAAGAAATTTGTGGAGTGGTTGAAAAACTAGTTTTAATGACTCCAACCTAAGTGTATGTAAACTTCCGACTTCAACTGTATATGTGTATATATATATATACAGCTCTGGAAAAAATTAAGAGACCACTGCAAAAATATAAGTTTCTCTGGTTTTACTATTTATAGGTATGTGTTTGGGTGAAATTAACATTTTTGTTTTATTTTATAAACTACTGACAACATTTCTCCCAAATTCCAAATACAAATATTGTCATTTAGAGCATTTAATAACTGAATCACTGGACATTAACACCGGATCGCAACTAGCTAACCGCAACCGAATTGGATGTTGTTGTTTGGCTAATCACCACTGCCCCTGAAGCAAGCACCAGTTAGCCTTGAGCTAGCTTTGAGCCAGGCCCATATCCCAGCTATCTACCTCTCTGTCTACCGGACGGGAGTAGCCAGCTAACTTGCTACTTGCCATTAGCCACCGCTAGCGGTTTCTCACCATTGTCCGTGGCCTGCACTACCTACCAGCCAGCTCTAGCCTGGACTATTATCGGCCAGTCTGCACTGTCTGCACAGCGCGTTATCGACCCAGAACATATCGGTTTTTCTGCAGGAATCACTGATTCACTGGACCTTTAACACCGGATCATCGTAGCTAGATAGCTGCAATCAAATGGACGTTGTTGTTGGCTAATCAGCCTTGAGCTAGCCGCGAGCCAGGGCCTTCTCCCGGCTATCTACCTCTCTGTCAACCGGACGGGACCTCCTAGTGTTGACACGGAGCCCCGCCGATCCAACACGACTGGTCTGCTGACGAAATCGTCTGATGTGATTACAACAGGTTTCCCGTTACGACGTCGACCACGAAGATCCATCTGCAACCCCGGCCCGCCAGCACATGCTAGCCGTGGCCTCTTGCTCGCCAGTGCTATAGCAGCCCCCGAACTACCTCCGAACTTTCCTTTTGCTGTTCACCGGACCTTATGATAACTCAGCTATACAGCTGATGCCTGCTGGACTGTTCCTTTATACGGTACCGCATCCTGTTTCTGTTTAGCCTCAGCCCAAACTTTGTCGCCATTACCAGCTGTTGTCTTAGCTCTCTCGAATAACACCTGTGATTGCTTTATGCCTCTCTCCCATGTCAATATGCCTTGCTTGTTTCGGTTATTTGTTATTGTACTATTTCACTGTAGATCCCCCAGTCCAGCTCAACCTGCCATAGATAGCTCCTTTGTCCCACCCCCCCATACACGCAGAGACCGACTCAATCAGTGCCTCCAGTGCCTCTCTTTCATCGTTACCCAACGCTTAGGTTTACCTCCACTGTACTCATATCCTTCCATATCCTTTTCTGTACATAATGCCCTGAATCTATTCTACAAGGCCCAGAAACCTGCCCCTTTTTTTCTCTGTACCCAACGCACTAGAAGACCAGTACTTAAAGCCTTTAGCCGTATCCTTATTATACTCCTCCTCTGTTCCTCTGGAGATGTAGAGGTTAACCCAGGCCCTGTAGCCCCCAGTATCATTCCCCAGTATCACCCCCAGTATCACTCCCCAGGCGTTATCATTTGTTGACTTCTGTAACCGTAAAAGCATTGGTTTCTTGCACGTTAACATCCGAAGCCTCCTCCCTAAATTTGAGTTATTCACTGCGTTAGCACACTCCGCCAACCCTGATGTCCTAGCAGTGCTTAGGAAGGCCACCAAAAATTCAGAAATGTCCATCCCAAACTACAACATTTTCTGTCTCTATAGAACTGCCAAAGGGGGTGGGGTTGCAATCTACTGCAGAGCTCTATCGTACTATCTAGGTCTGTGCCCAAACAGTTTGAGCTTCTACTTCAAAAAATCCACCTTTCCAGAAATAAGTCTCTCACTGTTGCCGCTTGCTACAGACCCCCCTCAGCCCCGAGCTGTGCCCTGGACACCATATGTGAACTGATTGCCCCCCCATCTATCCTCAGAATTCGTACTGCTTGGTGACTTAAACTGGGATATGCTTAACACCCCGGCCAACCTACAATCCAAACTAGATGCCCTCAATCTCACACAAATTATCAACAAACCTACCAGGTACAACGCTAAATCCGTAAACATGGGCACCCTCATAGATATCATCCTGACAAATGTACCCTCTAAATACACCTCCGCTGTCTTCAACCAGGATCTCAGCGATCACTGCCTTATTGCCTGCGTCCGTAATGGGTCCACGGTCAAACGACCACCCCTCATCACTGTCAAGCGCTCTCTAAAACACTTTAGCGAGCAGGCCTTTCTAATTGACCTGGCCCGGGTATCCTGGATGGATATTGACCTCATTCCGTCAGTAGAGGATGCCTGGTTGTTCTTTAAAAGTGCTTTCCACTCAATCTTAAATAAGCATGCCCCATTCAAAAAATTCAGAACTAAGAACAGATATAGCCCCTGGTTCTCCTCAGACTTGACTGCCCTTGACCAGCACAAAAAGATCCTGTTGCATACTGCATTAGCATCGAACAGCCCCCGCGATATGCAACTTTTCAGGGAAGTCAGGAACCAATATACACAATCAGTTAGGAAAGCAAAGGCTAGCTTTTTCAAACAGAAATTTGCATCCTGTAGCACTAACTCCAAAACGTTTTGGGATACTGTAAAGTCCATGGAAAATAAGAGCACCTCCTCCCAACTGCCCACTGCACTGAGGCTAGGAAACACTGTCACCACCGAGAAATCTACAATAATCGAGAATTTCAACAAGCATTTTGCTACGGCTGGCCATGCTTTCCACCTGGCTACCACTACCGCGGCCACCAGCTCTGCACCCTCCGCTGCAACTTGCCCATGCCCCCCCGCTTCTCCTTCACACAAATTCAGACAGCTGATTTTCTGAAAGAGCTGAAAAATCTGGACCCCTACAAATCAGCTGGGCTAGACAATCTGGACCCTTTCTTTCTAAAATTAGCTGCCGAAATTGTCGCAACCCCTATTTCTAGCCTGTTCAACCTCTCTTTCGTAAAGTCTGAGATCCCCAGAGATTGGAAAGCTGCCGCGGTCATCCCCCTCTTCAAAGGGGGTGACACTCTAGATCCAAACTGTTACAGACCTATATCTATCCTGCCCTGCCTTTCGAAAGTTTTTGAAAGCCAAGTTAAAAAACAGATCATCGACCATTTCGAATCCCACCGTACCTTCTCCGCTATGCAATCCGGTTTCCAAGCTGGTCATGGGTGCACCTCAGCCACGCTCAAGGTCCTAAACGATATTATAACCACGATCGATAATAGACAGTACTGTGCAGCCGTCTTCATCGACCTGGCCAAGACTTTCGACTCTGTCAACCACCGTATTCTTATTGGCAGACTAAATAGCCTTGGTTTCTCTAATGACTGCCTCGCCTGGTTCACCAACTACTTCTCAGATAGAGTTCGATGTGTCAAATCGGAGGGCCTGTTGTCTGGACCTCTGGCCGTCTCTATGGGGGTGCCACAGTGTTCAATTCTCAGGCCGACTATTCTCTGTGAATATCAATGATGTTGATCTTGCTGCTGGTGAAGCTCGGATCCACCTCTATGCGGACGACACCATTTTGTATACATCTGGCCCTTCATTGGACACTGTGTTAACAAACCTCCAAACGAGCTTCAACACCATACAACACTCCTTCCGTAGCCTCCAACTGCTCTTAAACACTAGTAAAACTAAATGCATGCTCTTCAACCGAACGCTGCTTGCACCCGCCCACCCGACTAGAATCACTACTCTCGGCGGGTCTGACCTAGAGTATGTGGACAACTACAAATACCTAGGTGTCTGGTTAGACTGTAAACTCTCCTTCCAGACTCACATTAAGCATCTCCAATCAAAAGTTAGATCTAGAATCGGCTTCCTATTTCGCAACAAAGCCTCCTTCACTCATGCTGCCAAAAATGCCCTCGTAAAACTGACTATCCTACCGATCCTTGACTTCGGCGATGTAATTTACAAAATAGCCTCCAACACTCTACTCAGCAAATTGGATGTAGTCTATCACAGTGCCATCCGTTTTGTCACCAAAGCCCCATATACTACCCACCGTTGTGACCTGTACGCTCTTGTTGGCTGGCCCTCACTACATATTCGTTGCCAAACCCACTGGCTCCAGGTCATCTATAAAACACTGCTAGGCAAATCCCCGTCTTACCTTAGCTCACTGGTCACCATAGCAACACCCACCCGTAGTCTGCGCTCCAGCAGGTATATCTCACTGGTCATCCCCAAAGCCAACACCTCCTTTGGCCGTCATTCCTTCCAGTTCTCTGCTGCCAATGACTGGAACGAACTGCAAAAATCTCTGAAGCTGGAGACTCTTATCTCCCTCACTAACTTTAAGCGTCAGTTGTCAGAGCAGCTTACCGATCACTGCACCTGTACACAGCCATTCTGAAATTAGCCCACTCAACTACCTCATACCCATATTGTTATTTATTTTGCTAATTTGCACCCCAGTATCTCTATTTGCACATCATCTTTTGCACATCTATCATTCCAGTGTTAATACGAAATTGTAACTATTTTGCACTATGGCCTATTTATTGCCTTACCTCCATAACTTACTACATTTGCACACACTGTATATATATTTTCTGTTTGTATTTTTGACTTTATGTTTTGTTTACCCCATATGTAACTCTGTGTTGTTGTTTTTATCGCACTGCTTTGCTTTATCTTGGCCAGGTCGCATTTGTAAATGAGAACTTGTTCTCAACTGGCTTACCTGGTTAAATAAAGGTTAAATAAATAAAATAAAAATTATTTGTGGAAAATGAAAACTGGTCAAAATAACAAAAAATATGCAGTGTTGTTAGACCTCGAATAATGCAAAGAAAATAAGTTCATGTTCATTTTTAAACAACACAATACTAATGTTTAACTTAGGAAGAGTTCAGAAATCAATATTTGGTGGAATAACCCTGATTTTCAATCACAGCTTTCATGCGTCTTGGCATGCTCTCCACCAGTCTTTCACATTGATGTTGGGTGACTTTATGCCACTCCTGGCACAAAAATTCAAGCAGCTCGGCTTTGTTTGATGGCTTGTGACCATCCATCTTCCTCTTGATCACATTCCAGAAGTTTTCAATGGGGTTCAGGTCTGGAGATTGGGCTGGCCATGACAGGGTCTTGATCTGGTGGTTCTCCATCCACACCTTGGTTGACCTGGCTGTGTGGCATGGCGCATTGTCCTGCTGGAAAAACCAATCCTCAGAGTTGGGGAACAATGTCAGAGCAAAAGGAAACAAGTTTTCTTCCAGGACAACCTTGTACGTGCCTTGATTCATGTGTCCTTCACAAAGACAAATCTGCCCAATTCCAGCCTTGCTGAAGCACCCCCAGATCGTCACCGATCCAGGTCTCCGTCTAACCATTAGACGACCAGGTGTTGGGCAAAGCTGAAAATTGGACTCATCAGAGAAGATGACCTTACTCCAGTCCTCTACGGTCTAATCCTTATGGTCTTTTGCAAACCTCAGCCTGGCTCTTCTTTGCTTCTCATTGATGAAGGGCTTTTTTCTAGCTTTGCATGACTTCAGCCCTGCCCCTAGGAGCCTGTATCGAGCCGTCCTCGCCGTGCACTTCACCCCAGCTGCCGTTTGCCATTCTTTTTGTAGGTCACTTGATGTCATCCTACGGTTGTTGAGTGACATTCGAATGAGTTGGCGATCATCCCGGTCAGTAGAGAGTCGTTTTCACCCTCTGCCGGTCTGTAGCTTTGTTGTCCGCAATGTCTGCTGCTTGACCTTGTTCTTATGAACCGCCGTCTTTGAAATTTTAAGGATGGAAGCAACCTGACGCTCACTGTATCCCTCTGCCAGTAAAGCCAGAATTGAACCCTTCTTTTCCTCACTCAAAACGTTACTTTTCAACTCTTTTGGCATGGTCAATAGTTAATTTTTTGATTAATATTACTTTTGAGGTACTATTAGCACTGTTTTTGCCATCCAGCTGGTCCTATTGCAAGAGGATAGTGATGACCACAGCAGTGGTTTTTATACTTTTCCTCGTTAAATAAGATTTGGTTCAGGTGATCACCTAATCAGTGCCTAATTCAGTAGAATGAGGTGTGCCTGTGTTGGAATTCAACAGACACTGGAATGGAATGGCTGTCATACATGTAGAGATGCTGATTTAAGAACAATTTGCAGTGGTCTGTTAATTTTTTCCAGAGCTGTATGTGTGTGTGTGTATATATATATATATATATATATATATATATATATATATATATATATATTATACTGATAACTAGTTCAAACAGGTGCCATTAATACAGGTAACGAGTGGAGGACAGAGGAGCCTCTTAAAGAAGAAGTTACAGGTCTGTGAGAGCCAGAAATCTTGCTTGTTTGTAGGTGACCAAATACTTATTTTCCACCATAATTTGCAAATAAATTCATAAAAAATCCTACAATGTGATTTTCTGGATTTTTTTTTCTCAATTTGTCTGTCATAGTTGACGTGTACCTATGATGAAAATTACAGGCCTCTCTCATCTTTTTAAGTGGGAGAACTTGCACAATTGGTGGCTGACTAAATACTTTTTTCCCCCACTGTATGTCATGGAATTCAATGATGGAAGGATACATTTCTGAAGTATTCGAACAAGGCCCTTGTTCTACTCACCAGGTAGATGACATCAACAGAGCCCCTTGGGGCGGTCTCCCCTACGATGGTGCACTGGACGGTGATTGACCCTTCCTCCCCACATGCCAGGGGTTTCTCCATCTTCTGAATAGCCAGAGAGCTGGATGTTTTACTGTGAGGGGAAGTGGGCTGGATCAGTGAAAGTCTGTGTTCCCCTCTTTGAAAATAAGGGACACTGTATACAGCATACCCCAATTCTAGTGTGTGGCTTATCTGCGAAGCAAGAAAGGGAGACATCATTGAATTTCTCCAATGTTTACAGCAGTCAAAAACAAAGACAAGGATTGTGTAGCTGAGCTCAATAACTTGGTTTGAAGTTACTTTCAGATGATTTGGACATGACATTTGAAACATGATTATATCGGGTACATTGACTTCCAATAGATTTGGTTAGAAAATGCTAAAGTTTGCAGTTTGTGACAGTGGCTAGGAACACAAAACCAAAGCATATTTTGCAATCTGTCCTTGTCCATAGATTGCATACAAGGTAAAGTAAACACATTTCGTAATTTGGGTGAACTATTCATTTAAAAAGTAAGAGGAATCACACTTACTGTGAGAGCAAAATCATCTTTGGGCATTCCAGTTGTGTTGAGGGAGAAACTGGCAATACCATGACTGTCCGTGGTTAGGTTCTATAGATGACGTGCTGACCACCTTTGGCCCTCAAACAGATAGACTGACTTGTCGGAAATAGGTGTGTCATTGAAGTGAACAACTTTAATCTGAGGAAAAGTGTGTTTTGAATGGTCATATATTTCATTTTTACCAGCCACATCGAGTGAAGCAGAAATCTCAAAGAACAAATGGCATCCACAATACAAAAATGCCCCTTGTGTACACAAGTCAAGTGTATAGTGTCTACAAAATGCTGTATTTGGACATTCCTTACCCTCTACAATTGATCCATGTTCATACATTTTGGGTGTGTCGACAAGTGAGAGCTTTCCAATGACATAGGAAAGTGTGATGCGTTTTTCTTGAGACTGTGTTATGCCTGTCAAAGGGAAATACATTGCAATGTGGTACCAAAGGACAAACAAGGCAGGCCTAATCATTATGATACAATTAAACATAGATTTTTTTATTTATTATTCAGGCAATGTTCTCTTCACTTTCCCATTACATTTACACTGATGTGATTAATGACTTGCCTGTGCCTTCCTCCTCTATTTTTGCATTAAATATAAGATTGTCTCTGAGGATTTTCTTGCTATCATTCATGAAAGTTGACATGTTGAAGACATGAGAGGCACAGACAGTTTGGTCCATCTAGGAAAAGAAAACAAAGCCACTAACATTATAATTGGGGAGAGTTAAATTAACTTAATTCAACCATATCACAAAATTTAGAACCTTGTTGTCCCAAACAATCCTGGTGAAAACTATGTCAGGAAGGCATACATACCTCTATTGACTCTTTCTGACAGGGGGGTGTGTAAGTAGGAACTCCTTGTGGATTGTCTTCATCGAATTCAAGTGTTATCAATAAATTGTGCACAACTCTACCTCTGCTTTACCAGGTACAGGCTGCCCATACGTGTATCTGATTTAAAAAATAATTATGTATAACTCACACATTGACTTGAAACGTCAAACCATTTTCAATTGTCAGATGTACTTGTAAACCGCAATGCTTAAATCTCAGGTACTCAAACATGGAAGACTCACTTGGCACACACGTCCACTTTGTACTCCTCTTGACCAACGCTGATCTCATCCTTGCGGTTCAATTTGATCTCAAACTTTGGCAAAACTAAAGATAAAAAGACAGCAGTCATCACAGTAGATGTTTCAAGATACTGATGCATTCATTCAACTGGCAGAACCATTAACATAATGCTTTACATGAAAGGTAAAAGAATGTCAATCAACCTACCATACTGTTCTACCTTGAAACTATGGAATATTTTATTTTCACCAATCCACACAACATAATAGGTTCCCTTGGGTGCTTCAGAGTTCAGGGGGTGAGAAAGCTGTACAATTTTGCCACTAGATGTGGTGTTGACCCACTGTCTAATCCTGTTGCTATTTACGTCCTTTTTGTGAAGGAATGGAATGGAAGAAATAGCGCAAAGCTGATTGGACGTTTTTTAACTTTTCACTATGATGGGAAATATTATTACATGATATTGTGTGTGTGTGGAACTGAAAGATGGCATACCGGGCTATTTTATGTATTATCATGTTTTAGATTGCACTTTATTTACAACGTTAGTCATTATAAAGGTAGGGATTAGTGGGGGTCTTTCCTCAAGCTCCACAATGTTATACTGTGAAGGACAAAAACACATTACATTGATTAATGTGGCCTAAAACTCAAGGAAGGTGACTGGCTTGAAATGTAAATCAGTCACATATCATCTGGGACTCTGTCAATGCTTGCCTGATTCTCCTCAGAGCATTGATGATATACTTGGGGTCTATAGAAGTAATACCCCCCTTTAATTCCTTGGCTTTCCTCTGATCTTAGCCTCTAAATACCAATGTGTCAAGAATAAGCCAAACTCCAATCTGGCCTATGTGAATGATGCCTCATGCTCTATAGCCCTCAAACTCAACTCTGGACCTCGAAGCCAGTTCCACTGAGTTTTTTCATTGTTCCCCTCTAATCAGGGGCTGATTTAGACCTGGGACACCAGGTGGGTGCAATTAATTATCAAGTAGAACTGAAAAGCAGCAGGCTCCGGACCTCTTAGGGTAAGAGTTGAATACCCCTGCTCTATAGTGTCTGGCTTGGCAAATGCGAGACTACAGAGTCTGGTTTGGGAGACTACCTGCTCCAAGGGGGCGGCTCTGTGGCTGACCATGTGGCTGCTCCCAACCTATCGTGTGTGTGTGTGTGTGTGTGTGTTCCATTAAATTCCATGACCCATGGTGAAAGCCAATGAAAACAGCTAAATAGCGTCTATCTCCAAACCTGAATCCCAGAGGGAACCATAACTGAAGGAGATTCACCAGGTCAGACTGTATTCAAATGCTCACACTGCAAAAATCTCCCTACACTGACTACAAGGGCGAAGCTGAGGTGTTTTTCCATTAGGGGTATAAACTTATGTCAATAACCTCTCCCACCTGATTTTCCAAAACTGTAACTGATGGGAGTGATTTATGTTTTGAGAGCAGGGTGGCAGTGAGGTTGGGAGAATGGTGGAGGTGAGGTTGGGAGAGGGGTGGAGGGAGAGGGAAACCACAAATAAAATGGGGAAGAAACATTGCTACCATGCAATATCAGTTCCTTTGTATTCTCCAATAAAAATACATTTAAAACAAACAAATGTGTCATTACCCCTATGACTGATTGACTGGTTTGGGTCAATATCAATGCTTTGCTTTGTAGTGTTGGAAATGTATTGAAAGTTCCACTGGATACAGATGTATTGACAGTATCTGTATGCTTTGTTTATAGTCCGTCCCCCCCAGCTATTTAGCTGTTTTCACTGGCTTTGTGTCTGTCAAGCTTAGTGGGGCTATCATTTGTTTTTCAACAGGACAATGACCCAACACACCTCCATGCTGTGTAAGGGCTATTTTACCAAGAAGGAGAGTGATGGAGTGCTGCATCAGATGACCTGGCCTCCACAATCCCCCGACCTCAACCCAATTGGGATGGTTTGGGATGAGTCGGACCGCAGAGTGAAGGAAAAGCAGCCAACAAGTGCTCAGCATATGTGGGAACTCCTTCAAGACTGTTGGAAAAGCATTCCAGGTGAAGCTGGTTGAGAGAATGCCAAGAGTGTGCAAAGCTGTCATCAAGGCAAAGGGTGGCTACTTTGAAGAATCTCAAATATAAAATATATTTTGATTTGTTTAACACTTGTTTGGTTACTATATGATTGTTATTTAATAGTTTTGATGTCTTCACTATTATTATACAATGTAAAAAATAGTAAAAATAAAGAAACACCCTTGAATGAGTAGGTGTGTCCAAACTTTTGACATGTAGTGTATCTTTAATTTTACTCAAGTATGACAATTGGGTAATTTTTCCACCACTGGAAATCAGATCTTGGAATTCCAATGAATTGGGTGAAGATACTGCAGACTGTTAACTCATGTTTGACCTTTTTCTGACCCTCTCATCCTTTGATGGTAAAAAATAAATAAAAATCACTACAGATGCAAGAGTTGTGAAATGTATTTTGACTCTATTACCACCTCCCCTCCATCCTCACGTACTTCGTGCCCCCTCTAAAATAATGGGTGCATGACGCCCCTGTCTACAAGTTTCCCCAGGAAACTGAAAACAACAAAACTGTAAAGAATTCCAGTAGGCCTAGCCTAAAACTGATCCTTCTGGTTCATCCCCATTGTTTAAGTGAAAGATAATTTATGGCAGCCGGGCAAGTTGAGCCTGCTCTGTGGTTGCCCCATTAGGTAGGTGATTTAAAAAAAACTGATAACCACCAAACTGCAAAGAGTTGCAGTAGCCTAAAATAGGAGCTACGCTGGGACATTGCAAAAGCAGTTGGTTTTTTATACCTGCTACACTGGAAGCTTCAGGGTAAGCAGAGCGCGAGCCTCTCGAGGAGCCGGCACAATCACGCCCAGGTTTCATTGAAATGCAAAAGTTACTCGTCTGATGTAGCCTCTGGAGTTTGTTTGTGGTGTAGCTTAATTTATCCTATAATAAAGTACTATAGTGGGAAAGTAGGGAGTAAAGAATGAAGAATAGTCATACAGTAGAGCGCATCATCATTGGGAATTGGAGAGAGTGAGCAGTTTCAAGTTCCTTTGCGTCCACATCACCGAGAACTTGACATGGACCCACAACACCACCAGTCTGGTCATGAAAGCGCAACAGCGCCTCTACTTTCTCAGGCGGCTGAAGAAGTTCGGCCTGTCCCCCCCAGACCCTCTCCAACTTTTACCAATGCACCATCGAGAGCGTCCTGATCGGCTGCATTACTGACTACAGTTCAGCATTCAATACTATTGTTCCCTCCAAGCTCAACACTAAGCTCAGGGCCCTAGGTCTGGACACCACCCTCTGCAACTGGATCCTGGACTTCCTGATGGGCAGACCACAGGCTGTGAGGGTTGGCAACAACACCTCCTTCACACTGACTCTCAACACGGGGGCCCCCAGGGATTCGTGCTCAGCCCACTGCCGTACTCCCTGTTCACCCACAACTGTGTGGCGAAGCACGGCACAAACATCATCATCAAGTTTGCTGATGACACCACGGTTGTAGGCCTGATCACTGACAACGGCAAGTCAGCCTACAGGGAGCCCTGGCAGTGTGGTGCAAGGACAATAACCTCTTCCTCAACGTCAGCAAAACAAAGGAGCTGATTGTCGACTTCAGGAAGCAGAGAGGACATGCCCCGATTCACATTGATGTGACTGCGGTGGACAGTCAGCAGTTTCAAGTTCCACGGCCTGGAACGGAAACTGCTCCGCTCACAACCGCAAGGCCCTTCAGGGGGTGGTGAAGACGGCCCAGTCCATCCCTGGGACAGTGCTCCCACACATACATGTTGTTTTATTTGTTTTCTTCATTTTCTCAGTTAACTGTAAGATATAAATATTGTGTTTTTATTGTTCCTAGAGGCTGTTGCCGTAGTGATAACCAAAAGATACCCGTGTTGTTCACCAAACACATACTTTATCTTATCTGACTGGACATCCAAATGCTGAAGAGAATCAAACTTCAGAAACTTTAATGGTCAACAGCGTCACCTCGTGCCAACAAATATGTTTTCCTCCATTTTTACACATTTCGATGTGATATATTGTTGTAAAAGGAGAAAGACACAACAATTCAATTATACATCTCAAATATCTCCCATGTTTTATTGATGGAGAAAAAACGTTTTTGACTGATTGATCTCTCTGCAAATCAAATATGACAGATAGTGAATAGAACAATATGCCAAATAAGGTCCTTGCACATATAGAGTATACAAGTAAAAAAAGTACACACATACAGTGAGGGAAAAAAGTATTTGATCCCCTGCTGATTTTGTACATTTGCCCACTGACAAAGACATGATCAGTCTATAATTTTAATGGTAGGTTTATTTGAAGAGTGATAGACAGAATAACAACAACAAAATCCAGAAAAACGCATTTCAAAAATGTTATAAATTGATTTGCATTTTAATGAGGGAAATAAGTATTATATTATCTTATTAAGTATACCATTATTTCTTTCTTTAAGCAATGGCTTTTTTCTGGCCACTCTTCCGTAAAGCCCAGCTCTGTGGAGTGTACGGCTTAAAGTGGTCCTATGGACAGATACTCCAATCTCCTTCAGGGTTAACTTTGGTCTCGTTGTTGCCTCTCTGATTAATGCCCTCCTTGCCTGGTCCGTGAGTTTTGGTGGGCGGCCCTCTCTTGGCAGGTTTGTTGTGGTGCCAAATTCTTTCCATTTTTTTTATAATGGATTTAATGGTGCTCCGTGGGATGTTCAAAGTTTCAGATATATTTTTTATAACCCAACCCTGATCTGTATTTCTCCACAACTTTGTCCCTGACCTGTTTGGAGAGTGCCTTGGTCTTCATGATGCCGCTTGCTTGGTGGTGCCCTTTGCTTAGCGGTGTTGCAGACTCTGGGGCCTTTCAGAACAGGTGTATATGTACTGAGATCATGTGACAGATCATGTGACACTTAGATTGTACACAGGTGGACTTTATTTAACTAATTATGTGACTTCTGAAGGTAATTGGTTGCACCAGATCTTATTTAGGGGCTTCATAGCAAAGGGGGTGAATACATATACATGCACCACTTTTCCGTTATTAATTTTGTAGAATTTTATGAAAAAAATTGTTTTTTCATTTCAAATTTGGACTATTTTGTGTATGTCCATTACATGAAATCCAAATAAAAATCCATTTAAATTACAGGTTGTAGTGCAACAAAATAGGAAAAACGCCAAGGGGGATGAATACTTTTGCAAGGCAATGTATTTTTGCTAACTTTCTATTTGAATTTATTGTAGTGAGATCATTTATTTCTTTTGGGATATGTATACCGAATATATCCACATCACCATCAGACCATTTTATTGGTAAACTACATGGTAATGTAAAGATTTTATTTTTTAGTGATCCAATACGTAATATAGTACATTTATCATAATTTGGTTGTAATCCAGAGATGTTAGAAAATGTATCTAGATCCTCTATGAGGCTTTGGAGGGATTCAAGTTGTGGATTTAAAAGAAAACATGAATCATCAGCGTACAATGACACCTTTGTTTTTAAGCCCTGGATTTCTAATCCTCTGATATTATTATTGGATCTGATTTTAATAGCTAACATCTCGATGGCCACAATAAATAGATATGCCGATAGTGGACAACCTTGTTTCACTCCTCTTGACAGTTTAAAACTTTCTGAGAAATAGCCATTATTTACTATTTTACACCTAGGGTTACTATACATGATTTTGACGCATTTTATAAGAGATTCTCCAAAATTGAAATGCTCCAGGCATTTACAGTGGGGAGAACAAGTATTTGATACAGTGCCGATTTTGCAGGTTTTCAAAGCATGTAGAGGTCTGTAATTTTTATCATAGGTACACTTCAACTGTAAGAGACGGAATCTAAAACAAAAATCCAGAAAATCACATTGTATGATTTTTAAGTAATTCATTTGCATTTTATTGCATGACATAAATATTTGATCACCTACCAACCAGTAAGAATTCTGGCTCTCACAGACCTGTTAGTTTTTCTTTAAGAAGCCCTCCTGTTCTCCACTCATTACATGTATTAACTGCACCTGTTTGAACTCGTTACCTGTATAAAAGACACCTGTCCACACACTCAATCAAACAGACTCCAACCTCTCCACAATGGCCAAGATCAAAGAGCTGTGTAAGGACATCAGGGATAAAATTGTAGACCTGCACAAGGCTGGGATGGGCTACAGGACAATAGGCAAGCAGCTTGGTGAGAAGGCAACAACTGTTGGCGCAACTATTAGAAAATGGAAGAAGTTCAAGATGACGGTCAGTCACCCTCGGTCTGGGGCTCCATGCAAGATCTCACCTCGTGGGGCATCAATGATCATGAGGAAGGTGAGGGATCAGCCCAGAACTACACGGCAGGACCTGGTCAATGACCTGAAGAGAGCTGGGACCACATTCTCAAAGAAAACCATTAGTAACACACTACGCCGTCATGGATTAAAATCCTGCAGCGCACGCAAGGTCCCCCTGCTCAAGCCAGCGCATGTCCATGCCCATCTGAAGTTTGCCAATGACCATCTGGATGATCCAGAGGAGGAATGGGAGAAGGTCATGTGGTCTGATGAGACAAAAATAGAGCTTTTTGGTCTAAACTCCACTCGCCGTGTTTCGAGGAAGAAGAAGGATGAGTACAACCCCAAGAACACCATCCCAACCGTGAAGCATGGAGGTGGAAACATCATTCTTTGGGGATGCTTTTCTGCAATGAGGACAGGACGACTGCACCGTATTGAGGGGAGGATGGATGTGGCCATGTATCGCGAGATCTTGGCCAACAACCTCCTTCCCTCAGTAAGAGCATTGAAGATGGGTTGTGGCTGGGTCTTCCAGCATGACAACGACCCGAAACACACAGCCAGGGCAACTAAGGAGTGGCTCCGTAAGAAGCATCTTAAGGTCCTGGAGTGGCCTAGCCAGTCTCCAGACCTGAACCCAATAGAAAATCTTTGGAGGGAGCTGAAAGTCCGTATTGCCCAGCGACAGCCCCGAAACCTGAAGGATCTGGAGAAGGTCTGTATGGAGGAGTGGGCCAAAATCCCTGCTGCAGTGTGTGCAAACCTGGTCAAGACCTACAGGAAACGTATGATCTCTGTAATTGCAAACAAAGGTTTCTGTACCAAATATTAAGTTCTGCTTTTCTGATGTATCAAATACTTATGTCATGCAATAAAATGCAAATTAATTACTTAAAAATCATATAATGTGATTTTCTGGATTTTTGTTTTAGATCCCGTCTCTCACAGTTGAAGTGTACCTATGATAACAATTACAGACCTCTACATGCTTTGTAAGTAGGAAAACCTGCAAAATCGGCAGTGTATAAAATACTTGTTCTCCCCACTGTATATATAAACCCCAGTCGTACTTTATCAAATGCCTTTTCGAAGTCTGCTATGAAAAGCAGGCCTGGTTTCCCATATTTTCCATAGTGTTCTATTGTTTCCAATACTTGCCTTATATTATCTCCAATGTATCTTCCATGTAAAAAAAACCTGTCTGATTAGAATGAATAATATCCGACAATACCTTTTAAATTCTATGCGCTATACATTTTGCTAGAATTTTTGCATCACAACACTGAAGTGTAAGGGGCCTCCAATTTTTTAAATGGACTGGATCTTTATATTTTCCACTTGTATCCTGTTTCAGTAATAATGAGATCAGACCTTCTTCTTGAGTGTCAGATAATCTACCATTTACATAGGAGTGGTTAAAACATGCTAATAACGGTCCTCTTAGTATATCAAATAAGGTTTGGTATACCTCGACTGGTATGCCAACCAAACCTGGAGTTTTCCCAGACTTAAAGTCTTTAATTGCATCCAGAAGTTCCTCCTCTGTAATTTCACCTTCACATGAGTCTTTCTGTATGGCTGTTAATTTGACATTATCAATAGAAAAAAAATCACTACAATTAGCTTCAGTTAGAGGAGATGGAGGCGACTGAAAAGAAAACATATGCTTAAAGTACTTTGTTTCCTCCTTCAAAATATCATTTGGTGAATCATGGGTAACTCCGTCAATTGTAACCAGTTTCATTAAGTTATTTTTGGTAGCATTCCTATGTTGAAGATTGAAAAAGAATTTTGTGCATTTTTCCCCATATTCCATCCAGTTTGCTTTATTTTTATAATATATTACACTTGATCTTTCTTGAATAAGTTTCTCCATTTCTTTTTGTTTTTCCTCTAATTTATTCTGTGCCTCTATGTTACAGTTTTTATTGCCATCTATCTGTTCTGTTAGACTTTCTATTTCCTTTGTTAGTATAAACTCTTTTGACCAAAATTGCTTTTGTTTTCGAGATTAGTACTGAATTGCATGGCCTCTAAAGGCACATTTAAAGGTGTCCCATACAATAAGGGGATTTGCTGTACCTATGTTATGTCGGAAAAAGTCAGTTATAAATTCCTTTCTTCTAATTATAAATAAATTATCATCCAATAGGCTTTGATTACATTTCCAATATCCTCGCCCACGTGGAAATTCAGTAAGAGTAATGTATATGCCAATTATATGATGGTCCGACCGCATTCTGTTGTTCTCCTTTTTTAGTTCCCTAACGTCCGTTTCCATCTTAGAGACTGTCACTTTAAATTTTTTGGTTTCTTTCTCCATCACCAAAGCTTTTTCGTCACTCATTTAAAGACTCGCTTTCAACTCTTTTACGTCTTTACTGACCAATTCTAGTATGCCCAATTTGTCATTTATCGACTTCAACAGGTCGCTTTCCACACTTACCATACCCAGTGGTGAGTCGCGTTTCCTTTTGGGGATCGGCTCTCCACGCTTATCTTCAGTCATGTTTGGGTGTTGCGTGTTGTTGTAATATTTGTCGATATATTTCTCTAGCCTCATGATCTGTTTTGTGTTATTATCCAGATTGAATTATATTAACTGCGAATATATGAAATGCTAATATTTAGTCTAACTTACTGATTTGGAATATTATGTTTTTATCATGAGGTGTTTTGTACTGCTTTCTATTCAATACGCCATCTTGTCTACGCGTTCCCCGCCCCTAACCCTCGCCCCTTCACGTTCTTTGTACCCGGTATGTAGGACAGTGTAAAATCAAACCGGGTGAAGAACAGGGCCCACCTGGCCTGGCGAGGGTTCAGCCTCCTCGCTGCCTGGATGTACTCCAGGTTACGTTGGTCAGTCCAGACGAGGAAAGGGTGTTTCGCCCCCTCGAGCCAGTGCCTCCACATGGCTCGGACGACAGCCAACAGCTCCCGATCACCAACGTCGTAGTTCTGCTCCGCCGGGCTGAGCTTCTTGGAGAAGAAGGCACAGGGGTGGAACTTAGGTGGCGTGCCCGAGCGTTGAGATAGGACAGCGCCTATCCCTACCTCGGACGCATCCACCTCCACTACGAACGGTAATGATGGATCGGGATGGACCAGTACCTGGGCTGAGGTGAACAGAGCCTTCAGGTTACTGAAAGCCCTGTCAGCCTCAGCAGACCAGCGGAGCCGGGACGGCCCACCCTTCAACAGAGAGGTGATGGGAGCTGCGACCTTGCCAAAGCCCCGGATAAACCTCTGATAGTAGTTGGCAAAGCCAATAAAGCGCTGCACCTCCTTTACCGTAGTTGGAGTCGGCCAATTACGCACGGCTGAAATGCGATCTCCCTCCATCTCCACACCTGAGGTGTTGATGCGGTATCCGAGGAAGGAGACGGACTGCTGGAAAAACAGACACTTTTCTGCCTTGGCATAAAGGTAATTTTCCAAAAGTCGGCCCAGCACTTTGCGAACCAGGAACACATGCTCGGTGCGCGTAGCGGAATACACCAGAATGTCATCTATGTAGACCACTACACCGCAACCAAGCATTTCCCGAAACACCTCGTTCACAAAGGGATTGGAAGACTGATGGAGCATTCATTAAACCGTACGGCATCACCAGGTATTTGTAATGCCCCGTGGTTGTGCTGAATGCTGTCTTCCACTCGTCCCCCCTCGGACAAGTACCAGGTTGTACACACTCCGGAGATCTAATTTTGTGAAGAAGCATGCCCCATGCATTGACTCGATTACAGATGGAATGAGGGGTAGAGGATAACTATAGCGCATTATCCCCTTGTTAAGTGCTCGGTGATCAATGCAAGGGCGCAGACCTCCGTCTTTCTTCTTCACAAAAAAGAAACTCGAGGAGGTGGGAGAAGTGGAGGGACGTATGAACCCCTGGGCGCAGGGACTCGGAGACGTATGTCTCCATCGCCTCTGTTTCACCCTGCAACAGGGGATATACATGACTCCTGGGAGGCGCAGCGTCTAACCTGAGGTTTATCGCACAATCCCCCGCCCGATGAGGTGGTAATTTGGCCGCCTGCATTTTGGAAAACGCGTGCGGCAAATCGAGGTATTCGGGGGGAATGCGCACGAACGGAAACAGCGAGACACCTCCCCTGACACTCTCGCGACCACCCCATGAAAAGGTGGGGTTGTGTAGTGCTAACCAGGGAAGACCCAACACAACAGGGAAATCAGGAGACTCAATAATAAAAAAGGTAACTTGCTCTCTATGGGTCTTGTGCGTAACCATTGTGACTGGTGCTGTAACTTCCCTAACAAACCCTGACCCTAATGGTCGACTGTCAAGTGCTTTGATGGGCAGTGGAATGGATAGGGGAACCAACGTAATACCTAGACTATGAGCTAACGACCTGTCCATAAAGTTCCCAGCTGCGCCTGAAACGACCAGCGCCTTACACTGGGAAGCTACTGTGTAGTCAGGGAAGGTGACATGTATGGTGCAGTGCGCAGCAGAGGGCTCTGAACGAGTGTGGGTTTGCGCTACCTGGGGTGATGCGAGAGTGCCCTGCCTGCCGCCTCCAGATCCAGAAGAACCCTGACGACAGCGTGCAGCAGATTGTCCTCTCCTGCCACAAGCGTGACACTGGAGTTGTCATCCTCCGTTCTCCCGGATCGCTGCACCACCCAGCTCCATCGGAACTGAATCCGAGTTGAAGTGGGGTGAAACGGGCAGGCCACTTCCAGGACATCCTCTTGCAGCTAGCAGGTTGTCCAACCGGATGGCCATGTCCACCAGCTGGTCGAAAGTCAACATGGTATCCCGGCAGGCTAGCTCCCTTCGGACGTCCTCTCGCAGGCTGCACCAGAATCTGTCGCTGAGGGCCCGCTCGTTCCCAGCCGCTAGAGTACGAAACTCCAGGGCAAAGTCCTGCATGGTCCTTGTCCCCTGCCTCAGTTGGAACGGTCGCTCGCCCGCCTCTCTTCGAAGACGGCCCGGAAGAGGCGAGTGAACTCCCCGTAGTTGTCCAACGCGGCTCCTCCTTCACTCCAGACCGCGTTGGCCCACTCCAGGGCTTTCCCCGAGAGGCAGGAGATGAGGGCGGACACCTTATCCCGCTCCGATGGAGCCGGGCTGATGGTTGAGAGGTAGAGGTCCAGCTGCAGGAGGAATCCCTGGCAGCGGGCAGCTGTCCCGTCATAATCCCTCGGTTGGGATAGATGAATCCCTCTGGGTGCTGGGGTGTGGGTGGCTGGATCCGGTCGCTCAGCTGGTCCCGAAGGGTCGGGTCCTCTCCTCTCCAGGCATTGGATGACCTGGAGAGCCCGATCCATCGCTTCTCCCAAGCCGGCTAGCATCGTAGAATGCTCCTGGACCCGCGCCATGACTCCAGGCATGTGCTCTTCTCCTGCTGACTCCATGTCTTGGTATGTGATTCTGTGGTGAGTGATTTTGAAGGAGTCAGGCGCAGGAGGGTAAATCACAGAATAAAATGGTTTATTCCGAAAACACAGCAGTACGCAGCAATGCGTCAAACACTCCAGTGCGTAAATCAGGCGCACTGGGAAATAACAAGGCACACAGGGAAATATCCTGGCGATACAAAATACAAGGAGCTCCAACAACAATAAACAATCACACACAAAGAAAAGGGGGCAGAGGGATCACTTATATAGGGACTGATGAGGGGATATGAACCAGGTGTGTGTAATAAACAAGACAAAACAAATGGAATGATGAGATGAGGAGCGGCAGTGGCTAGAAGGCCGGTGACGATGAACGCTGAAGCCTGCCCGAACAAGGAGAGGGGGCAGCTTCGGAGGAAGATGTGACACTACTAAAGGACACCAATAAGATGAAGAGACTTACTTGGTCCAAGAAACATGAGCAATGGACATTAGACTGGTGGAAATCTGTCCTTTGGTCTGATGAGTCCAAATGTGAGATTTTTGGTTCGTCTTTGTGAGACGCAGAGTGGGTGAACGGATGATCTCTGCATGTGTAGTTCCCACCGTGAAGCATGGAGGAGGAGGTGTGATGGTGTGGGAGTTCTTTGCTGGTGACACTGTCAGTGATTTATTTAGAATTCAAGGCACACTTAACCAGCATGGCTACCACAGCATTCTGCAGCAATACGCCATCCCATCTGGTTTGCACTTAGTGGGACTATCATTTGTTTTTCAACAGGACAATGACCCAACAAACCTCCAGGCTGTTGTAAGCGCTATTTGACCAAGAATGAGAGTGATGGAGTGCTGCATCAGATGACCTGGCCTCCACAATCACCCGACCTCAACCAAATTTAGATGATTTGCGATGAGCTGGAACACAGAGTGAAGGAAAATCAGCCAACAAGTGCTCAGCATATGTGGGAACTCCTTCAAGACTGTTGGAAAAGCATTCCAGGTGAGGCTGGTTGAGAGAATGCCAAGAGTGTGCAAAGCTGTCATCAAGGCAAAGGGTGGCTAATTTGAAGAATCTGAAATATAAAATAACGTGTGTTATTTCATAGATTTGATGTCTTCACTGTTATTCTACAATGTAGAAAATAGTAAAAAATAAAGAAAAACTTTTGAATTAGTAGGTGTGTCTAAACATTTGACTGGTACTGTATATATACTGCAATGTTGCTTAGGAGTCTGAAAGAAGGTGGCCATGTGTATCGGCGCCATCTTATCCCTGGGCTATTGCTTTTCACCTTCAGATAGTCTGTCTTCAGCACACTTAACAGCTCCTTGCATGTCTCAATGACAATCTCTGAGATGGCATTGTGACTTATACAGAATACGTAGACGAGAGATGTGAATGTCTCTCCTTTTAACAGAAAGTGTATTGGGTCACAGCCAGTCTCTCTGCAGGGCTGATGGACTTTCTCATGGCTGTGTCTTCCTTTTTTTAGTCTGCCCACCATTCCAAGAAAGACTTGGAATGTGTCCTTTAAATATAAAGAAAATAAACGATTAATTTACAATATTACAATGGTAATAAGACAGGTTGATAAATGCAGTCAATCATGACAAGTCAGTGACAGTACCTAATTTCACAATATATACAAAAGTATGTGGACATGTGATGTAGATGTTGAGCGGCTTCACTGCAAGTAGATTGTATGTTTTAATATTCAATAAAGAATTAATTTAAAAAAGTATGTGGACACCCCTTCAAATTAGCGGATTCGGCTATTTCAGCCACACCCGTTGCTGACAGGTGTATAAAATCGAGCAAACAGCAATGCAATCTCCATAGACAAACATTGGCAGTAGAATGGCCTTACTGAAGAGCTCAGTGACTTTCAACGTGGCACCGTCATAGGATGCCACCTTTCCAACAAGTCAGTTCATAACATTTCTGCCTTGCTAGAGCTGCCCCAGTCAACTGTAAGTGCTGTTATTGTGAAGTGAAAAATGTCTAGGAGCAAAAACGGCTCAGTGGTAGGCCACACAAGCTCACAGAACGGGACCGCCGAGTGCTGAAGCGCGTCTGTCCTGGGTTGCAACACTCACTACCGAGATCCAAACCGCCTCTGGAAGCAACGTCAGCACAAGAACGGTTCGTCGGGAGCTTCATGAAATGGGTTTCCATAGCCGAGCAGCCGCACACAAGCCTAAGATCTCCACGCACAATGCCAAGTGTCGGCTGGAGTGGTGTAAAGTTCGCCGCCATTGGACTCTGGAACAGTGGAAACGCGTTCTCTGGAGTAATGTATCAAGTTTCACCATCTGGCAGTACGACAGACGAATATGGGTTTGGCGGATGCCAGGAGAACGCTACCTGCTCCAATGCATTGTGCCAACTGTAAAGTTTGGTGGAGGAGGAATAATGGTCTGGGGCTATTAACAGAATTCTGATAACTGTATTACATTGCTTTCCAATGCTGTCTAGTGTTAAACTTTAGTATTGTTGGTTGATATTAGCAAACTTTCTCTAAAATACTGTTCCTCCGAGCTCATTCTTGTCTAAGCAACTTTGAAGACTGGTAGCAAGACTGACAAGCTCTACTACAATAATACTACAGGGAATGACCCTACATTATATTATACACTGGGGTCCCAAATTATTTAACCCTTGATAAAGATGAGCAGAAATGACTGAGCTATATTGTATGCTCCAAAAATTGGGAAATTATATTATTTTATTCTAATACAATTGCTCATAGACAGAGAATTTGTTGAACAAGTCATGTTTTTTTCTCTGAAAAGGGTAGGGGTCAAAATGAAATTATATTATTTTATACTAATACAATTGCTCATAGACAAATAATTTGTTAAACAAGTCATGTTGTTTATCTCAAAAAGGTAGGGGTCAAAATGATTGACACCCATGTTTTCAGTACCTTTCAATCCCTCACCTTGCGAGGACAACGGCACTGAGCCTTTTTCTAAAATGTGTTATGAGTTGTAGAACACATTGGGAGGAATCTTAGCCCATTCCTCCATATCCTTCGTCTGTGCTTATTGACTGCCCTCCTCAATTCAAATTTGGGCTCCCGAGTGGCGCAGTGGTCTAAGGCACTGCATCTCAGTGCTTGAGGTGTCACTACAGACCATGGTTCAATTCCAGGCTGTATCACAACAGGCCATGATTGGGATTCCCAAAGGGCGGTGCACAATTGGCCCAGCGTCGTCCGGGTTTGGCCGGTGTAGGCCGTCATTGGAAATAAGAATTTGTTCTTAACTGACTTGCCTAGTTATATAAAGGAAAAATAAAAACCACAGGTTTTTTTCCCCTTCCATCTATGTCCCCATCTGTGGTAAATCCAGCCTCATCCCCTTTTTTGAACCTTTTCCCATTTTCTTTCCGTACAGTTGTGTAGGTAGACACATCACTAATCCTACTACCTTCATCCATCTGTAAATCGCTTTGGATAAAAGCATCTGCTAAATGGCATATTATATTATTAGTATATTATCTCAGACTTACTCCCATCTGAGCTTCCTGCCATGCCTACCTCTCTGTTATGAACATAGTGTTCAGAAGGAGTGCAAAGGTGAATTGAGTTATTGCACACGCGCATTTCAGAGTAGGCGTTCCCTAACAGAAATATGCAGATGCATGCTAGAAAGCTTCAATAGGATCTCGCTAGCTCGTGCTTGGCTCTGCCCACCTCCTTACTTTTTCTGCCCACTATGACTCATTTGTTCCCATTGGAAATGACAGACTATGGTCTATCTTTGTTTAGTTTTAAAAAATCTTTGGTACAGCTGTGCAGATCTGCCAACCAAACGCAACACTGCGTTCACTTTCGAAACCGAATATTATGATCGAACACAAAACAAAATAACTATGACCAGCCTTTTGTCGTTGTTCTCTAGCAATCATGTGTTTCCATCAAATTGACTTGTTGCTGATCCCCGCTTCTCCTTCCTATCTATGGGAACTTGCATGCATCAACCAAACACGTGGTGGACAATGTTAATTGGCAGGTGGAATGACATCCAAGGAGGTTGCAAGGTGAAAGTGGGAGACGGGATCAGGTCGGTCAAGTATAGTCCAATGAGGTTGCGGGGTGAGCCCAACATGAACAACACAGAGTTTTTTTTTAAACTCTCTTTGAGAATACGCTACAGAGGCTTGAGAACAATGGCGTGATGGCGTTGTACACAATGTTGTATTTTGGCTCGGGAGTGCTTCTTTCAAAACTACTGGCTAAAATTATACAAAACATCCAGAAAATCTCTTTAATCATTCTAACACTTTGAAGGTGGGTATTGTCATACATTTTCCATGTCTATGGCTTCATTCTGATGAAAGATCTTTCCCTGATATAACATCTGACTGTTGCCCTTTCAATAGGTCACCTGTTCGAACTCCAGTAACTGTACACTTCTATCCCTTTCCAGTGTTTTTATACAAGTCTATGCACCTTCAGAGAGTAATCTTTACAGCACAACCAAACTTCAAATGCATTTCATATTTCAATACAATTTTACAATCAACATTTATGTATTTCAACAACAACAAAAAATCTAAATTGCAAAACATAAACACTAGAAATTATATTGATTCTGCAGGTGAAAGATAATCATTAAAAACAGGTCTCAGTCACTTTACTTTGCTATTACACAAATTCAAGCCTAATTATAGTGCCAGTCTGTGCTATCATGCCAACTCCTTCTCATGCCACGTTTGGCTCGACAATGAGCAATGGAGTTGGCATTATCGCGCAAACAGACTGGCACTGAAACAAGTCTTGAAGTTGACAGATGTGTGCATTATCTGTCAAACAGCAGAACACAATAACATACTTTAATATTGAACCACTTCTTGATCAAATATCCCTCTCCTACGATTAACATCTTAACTGGCCATATTACATTAACCGAACAACAAAAAACATCACTGTAAAAGTAGATGCACTTACAAGGCTTATTGCCCAGTTGAAGTGCAGGACAAAGGCCAAATAATCTTAGCTGCCTGTGTGTTCAAACAGTGCTGTATCGACATGGAGTCTGGAGATACTTTAACAGGTCAGTTGGCATTAGTGATGGGGACTTGGCGACTTTGGCAGATTATTCGGTCTTTGGTTTATTTAGGCATTTAGCAGTGCCATTCTTCTCCATGAAGTCCCTCAGCTTGGTGGGGTAGTCGGTCATGACCCCTGTGGCTCCCAGGTCAAAGGCTCTCTTAAAGTCCTTCTCGTCGTTCAGCACCCACACATAAACCTGGAATTAAACAAATATGAGCACGAGCAGAGAACATTATACAACGTGACTGTGATGAAAGCGATTGATAGCAGTTTTGTCAGAATGGCCTTACTTGTATTCCCCTTGCTGTTAGGTGATTGAACAGAGCTCTTCTCATCAGCAGGCTGCATGAGAAACAGTTTTTAGACCCTGATGAATGAACCTCATCATTTATAATACATATCACCTGTTCTGGACCACAGCTACAGACAACCACTGATCAGAAGTCTAAACGTAATGCTATGCGAGCTCCTTCTGAAGGGTGCAATGGAGAAGTTGTTCCATGTGGAGGATACAGTAATCTCAGACTATTACACTTACGTATCTGCCAGCCAGGTGATGACACGCTGACTCCTGGTCATCTTATCAGGATCCCTCATAAGATGTCTGTGGAATCACGCAAACAACACAGGCAATACATAAGTGAAAATTAAGGAATCAAAACCACACTTTACCTAACTTTAGGATTCAGGTATTTCAACAGGTCAAACCTCTTTAAAGGGATAGTGCGAACCGAGAGTCAAATTAACTCGATACCATTTGTATGTCTCTGCGTCCAGTATGAAGGAAGTTAGAGGTAGTTCTGCGAGCCAATGCTAACTAGCGTTAGCACAATGACTTGAAGTCTACAGGTACACTAGCAGTACCCATGAGTTCATCTGGCTCTGGGTAAGAAGAAACATTGACACAATCTCACAGTATCCCTTTAAAGGGCCCCTCCGGTGAACAAAAAGGAAAAAGAAAAAAATGGCTAGCTTATAACAAACCACATAGTGGCCTCAACTCAATCTCTGCTTACGTCCAAATTCAGCTGCTTGAAATGGAAAGGCATAACCTGTTGTTCCAGATAACAAGAGAGGGAGGAGAGCCAGTGGATAGAGAGAACATGAGGCTATTGTGAGGGGAGGTAGGGCTCCACTTATCTTACAATAAGATACTTGATTAAATGTTACTGGTTAGAATCATTGATTGCATTTATGATTGTAAAATACTCTGCTTAATATAGTAGTTTGGTTAAAACGTTTGCAAGCTTCGCAAGAAGAACAATTTCCCTAATTATCCTGTTTACACAGACATCTGACAATCAAGTTGCCTGATGGGACTTGATGGAAAAAATGCAGAAGTCAAAATAAACGTTCTTAAACAGTGACCATGTAATTTTTGGGAAGCCTATTTGATTCCGAGTTCAGACATGTAAAGTTGGTATTTGTAAACACTTTTTTTGAACTCACTTCACTCGAGCCAATGAGGGAAGCTCCTGCTGCTCATGATAGCACATGTGCAGATCAAATACACTGCAGGAACTCAGATTAAGGTGTTTACAATAATTAATTAGGGTGTTTCCTACTAATTTGAAAGAGAGCAAAACAAAAACGGGTGTTTTAAAATGGGTTTATGCTAGGTATGCAAATTTCTATGTTGCTGTTGACTAGCTGACCCTCCTTAACCGGTTAAGATTTGTTCCAAACAGTAAAATGATGTGACAGCAGAAAATACTACGCATGCATACACGGAACAAATGTTTCATTAAGAGCTTAATTGAAACATACAACAATAGCGAGCATGTTGTCTCACAGCCAAAAGGCTATATTATAGAACATGGAACTCCTGTAATTAAAGCAGCCAATGTAAAACCACATTTTCAATAATTTGCCAAAATGCAATTCGCGGGGAAACAGCATTCTAAAAAGCGGACCTGATGCGAGCAGTTCCATATGTGACGGAGATGAAAATCTGTTAGAAAATTAGAAAGAGGGGGAATCTAACGATGCAACAACTATGATGTGTTGATAATATGACTAATAATAATAATAATAATAATAATAATAATAATAATAATAAGCCATTTAGCAAACGCTTTTATCCAAAGCGACTTAGACTAGGATTGTGCCATTGGCTTCTGGACAACTAATGTTGATATGAAAACCAATAGAAGAGGAGAGAAATGCTAGTTTAAAGGGCATATTTTATTAACTTTTATGTATTTAGGGGAACCCAATTGAGACCAGTGTCTCATTTTCAATGGTGCCCTGAGGAAAAAAAACAATAATAAAAATAAAAATAAACTACAAGACAGCTATAAATACATTACATCAGGTTATTACAACAAGTTATATTAATCAACTGCACACTTACGTGAACTCATTTAACAGTTTGAAACAGCCCTATCGGCACCAGGGAATCCAGGTGTAATTTGTTTTGTAAGGTATTCCATAACTGTGGTGCATTAAAACTAAAGGCGGATTTACCAAACTTTGTGGGGACAAGCGGGACCTCAAAAGTTAACCAACCCTGCAAACGGGTTTGGTATCTCATATTTTTATACACTGAACAAAAATATGAACGCAACATGTGAAGTGTTGGTCCCATGTGTCATGAACTGAAACAAAAGCTCCCAGATATTTTCTATATGCACAAAAAGCTTATTTCTCTCAAATGTTGTGCACATATTGTTTACATCCCTGTTAGTGAGCATTTCTCCTTTGCCAAGATAATCCATCCACCTGACAGGTGTGGCATATCAAGAAGGTGATTAAACAGCATAATCATTATACAGGTACACCTTGTGCTGGGGACAATAAAAGGTCACTCTAAAATGTGCAGTTTTGTCACACAACACAATGCCACAGATGTCTCAAGTTTTGAGGGGGAGTGTGCAATTGGCATGCTGACTGCAGGAATGTCCACCAGAGCTGTCGCCAAAGAATTGAATGTTAATTTCTTTACCATAAGCCGCCTCCAACATCGTTTTAGAGAATTTGGCAGTACGTACAACCGGCCTCACAATCGCAGAACACGTGTTTGGCGTCGTGTGTACGAGCGGTTTGCTGATGTGGACAGGGGGCCTCCCGAGTGGCGGAAGCGGTCTAAGGCACTGCATCGCAGCGCTAGAGGCGTTACTACAGACCCGGGTTCATTCCCGGGCTGTGCCACAACCGGCCGTGGCCTGGAGTCCCATAGGACTGTGCACAATTGGCCCAGCGTCGTCCAGGTTAGGGGAGGGTTTGGTCGGTGGGGCTTTCTTGGCTCATCGCGCTCTAGCGACTCCTGGTGGCGAGCCGGGTGCCTGCAGCCAGTTGAAGTGTGTTTCCTCCGACACATTGGTGCGGCTGGCTTCCGGGTTAAGCTGGCGGGTGTTAAGGAGCGCGGTTAGGCAGGTCATGTTTCGGAGGACGGATGACTCCACCTTCGCCTCTCCCGAGCCTGTTGGGGAGTTGCAGCAATGAGACAAGATCGAAAATTGGGGAGAAAAAGGGGGGTAAAATACACAATACACATATATATATACACAGTACCAGTCAAAAGTTTGGACACACCCACTCATTCAAGTTTTTTTATTTATTTACTATTTGCTACATTGTAGAATAATAATGAAGACATCAAAACTATGAAATAACACATGGAATCATGTAGTAACCAAAAAAAAGTGTTAAACAAACAAAATATGAGATTTTTCAAAGTAGCCACCCTTTGCCTTGATGACAGCTTTGCACACTCTCGGCATTCTCTCAACCAACTTCATGAGGTAGTCACCTGGAATGCATTTCAATTAACAGGTTTGCCTTGTTAAAAGTTAATTTGTGGAATTTATTTCCTTCTTAATGCGTTTGAGCCAATCAATTGTGTTGTGACAAGGTAGGGGTGGTATACAGAAGATAGCCCTATTTGGTAAAAGACCAAGTCCATATTATGGCAAGAACAGCTCAAATAAGCAAAGAGTAACGACAGTCCATCATTACTTTAAGACATGAATGTCAGTCAATACAGAAAATGTCAAGAACTTTGAAAGTTTCTTCTAGTGCAGTCGCAAAAACCATCAAGCGCTATGATGAAACTGGCTCTCAAGAGGACCGCCACAGGAAAGGAAGACCCAGAGTTACCTCTGCTGCAGAGGATAAGTTCATTAGAGTTACCTGCCTCAGAAATTGCAGCCCAAATAAATGCTTCACAGGAGTTCAAGTCACAGACATCTCAACATCAACTGCTCAGAGGAGACTGCGTGAATCAGGCCTTCATGGTCGAATTGCTGCAAAGAAACCACTACTAAAGGACACCAATAAGAAGAAGAGACTTGCTTGGGCCAAGAAACACGAGCAATGGACATTAGACCGGTGGAAATCTGTCCTTTGGTCTGATGATTCCAAATTTGAGATTTTTGGTTCCAACCGCCGTGTCTTTGTGAGAAGCAGAGCAGGTGAACGGATGATCACCGCATGTGTGGTTCCCACCGTAAAGCATGGAGGAGGTGGTGTGATGGTGTGGGGGTGCTTTGCTGGTGACACTGTCTGTGATTTATTTAGAATTCAAGGCACACTTCACCAGCATGGCTACCACAGCATTCTGCAGCGATACGCCATCCCATCTGGTTTGCGCTTAGTGGGACTATCATTTGTTTTTCAACAGAACAATGACCCAACACACCTCCATGCTGTGTAAGGGCTATTTGACCAAGAAGGAGAGTGATGGAGTGCTGCATCAGATGACCTGGCCTCCACAATCACCCAACCTCAACCCAATTGAGATGGTTTGGGATGAGTCGGACCACAGAATGAAGGAAAAGCAGCCAACAAGTGCTCAGCAGATGTGGGAACTCCTTCAAGACTGTTGGAAAAGCATTCCAGGTGAAGCTGGTTGAGAATGCCAAGATTGTGCAAAGCTGTCATCAAGGCAAAGGGTGGCTACTTTGAAGAATCTCAAATATAAAATATATTTTGATTTGTTTAACACTTTTTTGGTTACTACATTATTCCATGTGTTATTTCATAGTTTTGATGTCTACACTATTATTCTACAATGTAGAAAATAGTTAAAATAAAGAAAAACTCTTCAATGAGTAGGTGTGTCCAAACTTTTGACTGGTACTGTATATACAAAAAATAAGTTGTGAACAGAGTGCCCCATGGCGGCCGAGGGGTTATGGCAGGCATAAGCTACGGACAACGAACGCAATTTAATTTGATCGATATCAATTTGAATGCACAAAGATACCGTAACGAGATCCTAAGGCCCATTGTTGTGCCATTCATCCGCCGCCATCACCTCATGTTTCAGCATGATAATGCACGGCCCCATGTCGCAAGGATCTGTACAGAATTTCTGGAAGCTGAAAATGTCCCAGTTCTTTCATGGCCTGCATACTCACCAGACATGTCACCTATTGACCATGTTTGGGATGCTCTGGATCGACAGCGTTCCAGTTCCTGCCAATATCCAGCAACTACGCACAGCCACTGAAGAGGAAAGGGACAACATTCCACAAGCCACAATCAACAGTCTGATCAACTCTATGTGAAGGAGATGTGTCGCGCTGCATGAGGCAAATGGTGGTCACACTAGAAAATGACTGGTTTTCTGATACACGCACCTACCTTTTTTTATTTTAAAGGTATCTGTGACCAACAGATGCAGATCTGTATTCCCAGTCATGCGAAATCTATAGATATGGGCCCAATGTAATTATTTAAATTATTTCTAGACCTATCTGCTGCCTTTGATACTGTGAACCATCAGATCCTCCTCTCCACCCTCTCCGAGTTGGGCATCTCCGGTGCTTCTCACTCTTGGATTGCGTCCTACCTGACAGGTCGCTCCTACCAGGTGGCGTGGTGAGAATCTGTCTCCGCACCACGTGCTCTCACCACTGGTGTCTCCCAGGGCTCAGTTCTAGGCCCTCTTCTATTCTCTCTATACACCAAGTCACTTGGCTCTGTCATATCCTCACATGGTCTCTCCTATCATTGCTACGCAGACGACAATTAATTTTCTCCTTTCCCCCTTCTGATAACCAGGTGGCGAATCGCATCTCTGCATGTCTGGCAGACATATCAGTATGGATGTCGGATCACCACCTCAAGCTGAACCTCGGCAAGACGGAGCTGCTCTTCCTCCCGGGGAAGGACTGCCCGCTCCATGATCTCGCCATCACGGTTGACAACTCCATTGTGTCCTCCTCCCAGAGTGCAAAGAACCTTGGCGTGACCCTTGACAACACCCTGTCATTCTCCGCTAACATCAAAGCGGTGACCCGATCCTGCAGGTTCATGCTCTACAACATTCGCAGAGTACGACCCTACCTTACACAGAAAGCGGCACAGGTCCTAATCCAGGCACTTGTCATCTCCTGTCTGGATTACTGCAACTCGCTGTTGGCTGGGCTCCCTGCCTGTGCCATTAAACCCCTACAACTTATCCAGAACGCTGCAGCCCATCTGGTGTTCAACCTTCCCAAGTTCTCTCATGTCACCCCGCTCCTCCGCACACTCCACTGGCTTCCAGTTGAGGCTTGCATCTACTACAAAACCATGGTGCTTGCCTATGGAGCTGTGAGGGGAACGGCACCTCCTTACCTTCAGGCTCTGATCAGACCCTACACCCAAACGAGGGCACTACATTCATCCACCTCTGGCCTGCTAGCCTCCCTACCTCTATGGAAGCACAGTTCCCGCTCAGCCCAGTCAAATCTATTCGCTGCTCTGGCACCCCAATGGTGGAACAAGCTCCCCCACGACGCCAGGACAGCGGAGTCACTGACCACCTTCCGGAGACACTTGAAACCCTACCTCTTTAAAGAATACCTGGAATAGTATAAAAGTAATCCTTCCCCCCCCCCCCCCCCCCAAAAAAAAAAAAGTGGTTGTCCCACTGGCTATCATAAGTTGAATGCACCAATTTGTAAGTCGCTCTGGATAAGACCGTCTGCTAAATGATGTAAATGTAAATGTAATTGACTGAACTGTATCTCAGTAAAATCTTTGAAATTGTTGCATGTTGCGTTTATATTTCTGTTCAGTATATTTCAACAGGGAAGTGAGGTATGTTGGAAGCTTGTGGAGCAGAGCTTTGCAAACAAGAAGGGAGTAATGAAGTGATCTACAGGACTTTAGTGAGGTCCAGCCGACCTTCTGATACAGGATGCAGGGATTAGTATTAAAACTGTCACCTGTAATAAAGCAAAGGGTGCTATGGTAGCGGGCATCCAAAGGTTTAAAAGTAGTGGCTGCTGCATTCTGGTAAATGGTGTCAGCATAGTCAAGAACTGGCAGGAAAGTTGACTGTACAATCTACTTCCTGCTGTTCATGGAGAGGCAAGATATATGTCTAAAAAAGAAGTCCACTTTAAATCTTAGCTTTTAAACTAGCTTATCAGTATGTTTTTTAAACGTTAGATCTTTATCAATCGAAATGCCCAGATATTTATAGGCGGGAGCCCGCTCGATGAGAGAACCATCCAATGAGTGAATATGTAGCCCATCGGAGACATTTTTCCATGAATTACAGAAAATATATTTAGTTTTGCCCGCATTAAGTACAAGTTTTACATCACGTGTCAAACACGGAGGGCTGAGTGTCTGCGGGTTTTTGCTCCTCTCTTGTACTTGATTGATTAATTAAAGGTCACTAATTAGTAAGGAACTCCCCTCACTTGGTTGTCTAGGTCTTAATTGAAAGGAAAAAACAAAAACCAGTAGAAACTAGGCCCTCCATTGAATGAGTTTAACACCCCTGTTTTAAATCAACAAGGGGTTTCTGAACAAATAAAGATTCCAGCTCTAACATAACTTGGTCAACAGTTGGTGCAATGGCATATGTAACCGTATCGTCCTCATACAGATGAATATTACATTATTTAATACATAGACCAATATTATTTACAGTGCCTTGCAAAAGTATTCATCCCCCTTGGCATTTTTCCTATTTTGCTGCATTACAACCTGTAATTTAAATGTATTTTTATTTGGATTTCATGTAATGGACATACACAAAAGTCAAAATTGGTGAAGTGAAAAAAAACTAATATTTTCAAATAAATGCAAAAAAATAAATAACGGAAAAGTGGTGCGTGCATATGTATTCACCCCCTTTGCTATGAAGCCCCTAAATAAGATCTGGTGCAAACAATTACCTTCAGAAGTCACATAATTAGTTAAATAAAGTCTGCTTGTGTGCAATCTAAGTGTCACATGATCTGTCAAATGATCTCAGTATATCTACACCTGTTCTGAAAGGCCCCAGAGTCTGCAACACCACTAAGCAAGGGGCACCACCAAACAAGCGGCACCATGAAGACCAAGGAACTCTTCAAAACAGGTCAGGGACAAAGTTTTGGAGAAGTACAGATCAGGGTTGGGTTATAAAAAAAATATCTGAAACTTTGAACATCCCACGGAGCACCATTAAATCCATTATAGAAAAAAAATGGAAAGAATTTGGCACCACAACAAACCTACCAAGAGAAGGCCACCCACCAAAACTCACGGACCAGGCAAGGAGGGCATTAATCACAGCGGCAACAAAGAGACCAAAGATAACCCTGAAGGGGCTGCAAAGCTCCACAGCGGAGATTGGAGTATCTGTCCATAGGACCACTTTAAGCCATACACTCCACAGAGCTGGGCTTTACAGAAGAGTGGCCAGAAAAATGCCATTGCTTAAATAAATAAATAAGTAAACACATTTGGTGTTCGCCAAACGCCATGTGGGAGACTCCCCAAACATATGGAAGAAGGTACTCTGGTCAGATGAGTCTAAAATTGGGCATTTTGGCCATCAAGGAAAACGCTATGTCTGGCGCAAACCCAACACCTCTCATCACCCCGAGAACACCATCCCCACAGTGAAGCATGGTGGTGGCAGCATCATGCTGTGGGGATGTTTTTCATCGGCAGGGACGGGGAAACTGGTCAGAATTAAAGGAATGATGGATGGCGCTAAATACAGGGAAATTCTTGAGGGAAACCTGTTTCAGTCTTCCAGAGATTTGAGACTGGGACGGCGGTTCACCTTCCAGCAGGACAATGACCCTAAGCATACTGCTAAAGCAACACTCAAGTGGTTTAAGGGGAAACATTTAAATGTCTTGGAATGGCCTAGTCAAAGCCCAGACCTCAATCCAGTTGAGAATCTGTGGTATGACTTAAAGATTGCTGTACACCAGCGGAACCCATTCAAATTGAAGGAGCTGGAGCAGTTTTGCCTTGAAGAACGGGCAAAAATCCCAGTGGCTAGATGTGCCAAGCTTATAGAGACATACCCCAAGAGACTTGCAGCTGTAATTGCTGCAAAAGGTGGCTCTACAAAGTATTGACTTTGGGGGGGGGGGGATAGTTATGCACGCTCAAGGTTTCAGTTTTTTTGTCTTATTTCTTGTTTGTTTCACAAGAAAAAATATTTTGCATCTTCAAAGTGGTAGGCATGTTGTGTAAATCAAATGATACAAACCCCCCCAAAATCCATTTTAATTCCAGGTTGTAAGGCAATAAAATAGGAAAAATGCCAAAGGGGGGTGAATACTTTCGCAAGGTCCCAAAATCGACCCCTGCGGTACACCTTTCGTAATATAGACAAAATATATTTTGTAATATGTGTGTCTTGTCTGTCAAATAGTTCTTAAACCATTTGCAAGAGTCCTTATCTCTGCCCATTTCAGACAGTTTTTGAATGAGAAGGGAATGCTCAATGTAGTGGAATGGCTTGGAAAGGTCTATAAATAAGGCAGCACAATATTTTTAATGATCTAGGCAATTTAACAATCTAAAACAACCACAGTAGCTGAAACAGTGCTACGTACAGATCTAAAACCAAAACTATGCTTATTTAGAATAGAGTGAGAAGTTAAAAAAAGTTATTAACTGGGAGTTGGTCAAGGATTATAATACTATGGTTAGGCAAAATAACTTGGAGATTGGGCAGTAATTACCTAAATCAGACGGACCTCTCTGCCTTTATGTAGGGGGAGGACATGTGCCGCTCTCCAAACCTTAGGGATAACACCAGTAGCAATTGTCAAGTTAAAAATACAGGTTAAAGGTTCAACAATGAACGGGGCTGAGAGCTGTAGTAAGAAGAGGTCAAGTGAACCAGCCCCTGTGGATTTCTTTACATAGATCTTTAGCAAGGCGCTTAATCATAGACATCATATCCAATTGGCTCGTTCATCCCCCCTCCTCTCTCCTGTAACTATTCCCCAGGTTGTTGCTGTAAATGAGAATGTGTTCTCAGTCAAATTACCTGGTAAAATAAGGGTAAAATAAACCAATAAAAATATGAAGAAGTCTTTATAAAATAATTGCCTCCGTGTTTCTATAGTCAGATTTTGGCTAGGCTACTTTGAAGCAAGGTAAGACATGCCTCATAATATGATGTCAAACGTCCAGGTTTCAAACAATTAAGTACACAGTACCAGTCAAAAGTTTGGACAAACCTATTCATTCAAGGGATTTTCTTTATTTTTTACTATTTTCTACATTGTAGAATAATACTGAAGACATTAAATAAGCAAAGAGAAACGACAGTCCATCATTACTTTAAGATATGAAGGTCTGTCAGAAGGAACATTTAAGAACTTTTCAAGTTTCTTCAAGTGCAGTCGCAAAAACCATCAAGCACTATGATGAAACTGGCTCTCATGAGGACCGCCACAGGAATGGAAGACCCAGAGTTACCTCTGCTGCAGAGGACAAGTTCATTAGAGTTACCAGTCTCTGAAATTGCAGCCCAAATAAATGCTTCTCTGAGTTCAAGTAACAGACAACTCTCAACATCAACTGTTCAGAGGAGACTGTGTGAATCAGGCCTTCATGGTCAAATTGCTGCAAAGAAACCACTACTAAAGGACACCAATAAAAAGAAGAGACTTGCTTGGGCCAAGAAACACGAGCAATGGACATTAGACCGGTATAAATGTGTCCTTTGGTCTGGAGTTCAAATTTGAGATTTTTGGTTCCAACCGCTGTGTCTTTGTGAGACGCGGTGTGGGTGAACGGATGATCTCCGCATGTGTATTTCCCACTGTAAAGCATGGAGGAGGAGGTGTTATGGTGTGGGGGTGCTTTGCTGGTGACACTGATTTATTTAGAATTCAAGGCACACTTAACCAGCATGGCTACCACAGCATTCTGCAGCGATACGCCATCCCATCTGGTTTGGGCTTAGTGGGATTATCATTTGTTTTTCAACAGGACAATGACCCAACACACCTCCAGGCTGTATAAGGGCTATTTTATCAAGAAGGAGAGTGATGGAGTACTCCATCTGATGACCTGGCCTCCACAATCACCCGACCTCAATCCAATTGAGATGGTTTGGGATGAGTCGGACCGCAGAGTGAAGGAAAAGCAGCCAACAAGTGCTCAGAATATGTGGGAACTCCTTCAACACTGTTGGAAAAGCATTCCAGGTGAAGCTGGTTGAGAGAATGCCAAGTGTGCAAAGCTGTCATCAAGGCAAAGGGTGGCTATTTGAAGAATCTCAAATATATTTTCATTTGTTAAACACTTTTTTGGTTACTACATGATTCCATATGTTATTTCATAGTTTTGATGTCTTCACTATTATTCTACAATGTAAAAAATAGTAAAAATAAAGAAAAACCCTTGAATGAGTAGGTGTGTCCAAACTTTTAATAATAATAATAATAATAATAATAATAATAAATAATAAATAAGCCTTTTATCCAAAGCGTGCATACATTTTTGTGTATGGGTGGTCCCGGGGATCGAACCCACTACCTTGGTGTTACAAGCGCTGTGCTCTACCAGCTGAGCTACTGTACATTTTCAAAATGCATACTGCCTCCAGCTCAGATCGCAAGGTGGTTACAAGCTGATAGCCTGCCTACCGTATTGCCTATACACCCGAATGGCGAATGGAGGATGCGCTTCAATTAGGAGTTGAGAAATTAAAATAGTAGCAATAGAAAGCAGGAATCCTCTTTTCAAACGTTGTTTTTAACACACGATTGCATTTAGAATTGTTGCACAATGACTGGGCTTATAAGAACACGTTTCACTACAGCAGCAACCAGCGGTTTGAAGAGCTGTAGCTTTCGCTGTCCAAATTATGCAAATTAACCTACAGTGAGGGAAAAAAGTATTTGATCCCCTGCTGATTTTGTACGTTTGCCCACTGACAAAGAAATGAGTCTATAATTTTAATGGTAGGTTTATTTGAACAGTGAGAGACAGAATAACAACAAAGAAATACAGAAAAACTAATGTCAAAAATGTTATAAATTGATTTGCATTTTAATTAGGGAAATAAGTATTTGACCCCTCTGCAAAACATGACTTAGTTCTTGGTGGCAAAACCCTTGTTGGCAATCACAGAGGTCAGACGTTTCTTGTAGTTGGCCACCAGGTTTGCACACATCTCTGGAGGGATTTTGTCCCACTCCTCTTTGCAGATCTTCTCCAAGTCATTAAGGTTTCGAGGCTGACGTTTGGCAACTCGAACCTTCAGCTCCCTCCACAGATTTTCGATGGGATTAAGGTCTGGAGACTGGCTAGGCCACTCCAGGACCTTAATGTGCTTCTACTTGAACCGCTCATTTGTTGCCTTGGCCGTGTGTTTTGGGTCATTGTCATGCTGGAATACCCATCCACGACCCATTTTCAATGCCCTGGCTGAGGGAAGGAGGTTCTCACCCAAGATTTGACGATACATGGCCCCGTCCATCGTCCCTTTGATGCGATGAAGTTGTCCTGTCCCCTTAGCAGAAAAACACCCCCAAAGCATAATGTTTCCACCTCCATGTTTGACGGTGGGGATGGTGTTCTTGGGGTCATAGGCAGCATTCCTCCTCCTCCAAACACGGCGAGTTGAGTTGATGCCAAAGAGCTCCATTTTGGTCTCATCTGACCACAACACTTTCACCCAGTTCTCCTCTGAATCATTCAGATGTTCATTGGCAAATTTCAGACGGGCATGTATCTGTGCTTTCTTGAGCAGGGGGACCTTGCGGGCACTGCAGGATTTCAGTCCTTCACGACGTAGTGTGTTACCAATTATTTTCTTGGTGACTATGGTCCCAGCTGCCTTGAGATCATTGATAAGATCCTCCCGTGTAGTTCTGGGCTGATTCCTCACCGTTCTCATGATCACTGCAACTCCACGAGGTGAGATCTTGCATGGAACCCCAGGCCGAGGGAGATTGACAGTTCTTTTGTGTTTCTTCCATTGGCGAATAATCGCACCAACTGTTGTCACCTTCTCACCAAGCTGCTTGGCGATGGTCTTGTAGCCCATTCCAGCCTTGTGTAGGTCTACAATCTTGTCCCTGACATCCTTGGAGAGCTCTTTGGTCTTGGCCATGGTGGAGAGTTTGGAATCTGATTGATTGATTGCTTCTGTGGACAGGTGTCTTTTATACAGGTAACAAGCTGAGATTAGGAGCACTCCCTTTAAGAGTGTGCTCCTAATCTCAGCTCGTTACCTGTATAAAAGACACCTGGGAGCCAGAAATCTTTCTGATTGAGAGGGGGTACTTATTTCCCTCACAAGAAACGTCTGACCTCTGTGATTGCCAACAAGGGTTTTGCCACCAAGTACTAAGTCATGTTTTGCAGAGGGGTCAAATACTTATTTCCCTCATTAAAATGCAAATCAATTTATAACATTTTTGACATGCGTTTTTCTGGATTTTTTTGTTGTTATTCTGTCTCTCACTGTTCAAATAAACCTACCATTAAAATTATAGATTGATCATTTCTTTGTCAGTGGGCAAACGTACAAAATCAGCAGGGGATCAAATACTTTTTTCCCCTCACTGTACACACCGAAAAGCATGAACAGTCAAATGTATTTTCTGTGGCTAACCGATTAACGGTTAACCGTCAACATCCCTAGTTTATGCTTTCTTCGATTATGACCTTAGGCTGATGAAGATACTCATATAAACACCTTACACTGATTATTGCCATAATCATCTTAATATCAAATTATTAGTGTGCATCAGACCCTTTGACTTTTTCCACATTTTGTTACGTTACAGCCTTATTTTAAAATGGATTAAAAAAAAGACTATCCTCAGCAATCTACACACAATACCCCATAATGACAAAGCGAAAACAGGTTTAGACATTTTTGCTAATTTATTGAAATAAAAACTGAAATACCTTATTTACATAAGTATTCAGACCCTTTGCTATGAGACTCGAAATTGAGCTCAGGTGCATCCTTTCATTGATCATCCTTGAGATGTTTCTACAACTTGATTGGAGTCCACCTATGGTAAATTCAATTGATTGGACATGATTTGGAAAGGCACACACCTGTCTATATAAGGTCCCACAGTTGACAGTGCATCTCAGAGCACAGATCTGGGGAAGGGTACCAACACATTTCTGCAGCATTGAAGGTCCCCAAGAACACAGTGGCCTCCATCATTCTTAAATGGAAGAAGTTTGGAACCACCAAGACTCTTCCTAGACCTGTTCCGCCCGGCCAAACTGAGCAATCGGGGGAGAAGGGCCTTGGTCAGGGAGGTGATGAAGAACCCGATGGTCACTCTGATAGAGCTCCAGAGTTCCTCTGTGGAGATGGGAGAACCTTCCAGAAGGACAACCATCTCTGCAGCACTCTACCAGTCAGGCCTTTATGGTAGAGTGGTCAGACGGAAGCCACATGACAGCCCGCTTGGAGTTTGCCAAAAGGCACCTAAAGACTCTCAGACCATGAGAAACAAGATCCTCTGGTCTCACGAAACCAAGATTGAACTCTTTGGCCTGAATGCCAAGCGTCACGTCTGGAGGAAACCTTGCACCATCCCTACAGTGAAGCATGGCGTAGCAGTGCGGTCGTGTACTCTGTTGTGTGTCCGTGTAAATAGCCAGTTTTTTTCCTTTTTTGTCTTTTGTTGTTTATATTTCCCCTATCACACTTTTCATCCTTCTACTAAATATACTTTCCTGCAACCCGCATCACTCAATGTGGAACGGATTCTATTACTTATTTACCTTTTATCTAGAATCTCCAGTTGAAACTAGCTAGCCAGCTAACTAGCTACTTGCTATTAGCCACCGTTAGCGGTTTTCACCCAGAACATCGGATTTTCTGCCGGAATAACTGAATCACTGGACCTTAACACCGGATCGCAACCAGCTAGCCGCAACCGAATGGATGTTGCTGTTGGCTAATCACCACTGCCCCCGAAGCAAGCACCAGTTAGCCTTGAGCTAGCCTCGAGCCAGGCCCATATCCTGGCTAACTACCTGTCTACCGGACGGGAGTAGCCAGCTAACTAGCTACTTGCTATTAGCCACCGTTAGCGGTTTTTTTCACCATTGTCCGTGGCCTGCACTACCTACCAGCCAGCTCTAGCCTGGACTATTATCGGCCATTCTGCACAGCGTGTTATCGACAAAGAACATATCATATTTTCTGCCGGAATCACTGAATCTTTAACAATGGATATTCGCAATTAGCTAGCTGCAACCTAATGGATGTTGTGGTTGGCTAATCAGCCTTGAGCTAGCCTCGAGTCAGGCCCATCTCCCGGCTATGTACCTTTCTGTCAACCAGACGGGAGCTCCTAGTGTCGACACGGAGCCCCACCGATCCATCACGACTGGTGTGCCGACGTAATCGTCTGTGGTTTCAACAGGCTTCCCGTTGCGACGACCACAAAGATCCATCTGCTAGCACCGGCCCGCTAGTACACGCAATTCAACAGCCCTGCTTCCTGATCGCCTGTGCTGTAGCACCAATTCGAACTGCTCTCGGACTCACATTGCTGTTCACTGGACTTTATGATCACTCAGCTGCACAGCTGACGCCTGCTGGACTGTTCCTTTACACGGTACCCCATCCTGTTTATCTGTTTAGCCTTAGCCCAAACTTTCATCGCCATTACCAGTTGTTGTCTTAGCTCTGTCGAATAACACCTGTGATTGCTTTATGCCTCTCTCCCATGTCAATATGCCTTGCCTATTGCTGTTCCAGTTAGTTCTTATTAGAGCCCCAAGTCCCTCTCAAACTGCCTCAAATAGCTCCTTTGTCCCACCCCCCATACACGCGGAGACCGGCTCAATCGGTGCCTCCAGTGATGCTATCTCTTTCATTGTTACCCAATGCTTAGGATTTACCTCCACTGTACTCATATCCTTCCATATCCTTGTCTGTACATAATGCCCTGAATCTATTCTACAACGCACGGAAATCTGCACCTTTTATTCTCTGTACCCAATGCACTAGAAGACCAGTTCTTAAAGCCTTTAGCCGTATCCTTATTCTACTCCTCCTCTGTTCCTCTGGTGATGTAGAGGTTAACCCAGGCCCTGCAGCCCCCAGTATCACTCCTACTCCCCAGGCGCTATCATTTCTTGACTTCTGTAACCGTAAAAGCCTTGGCTTTTTGCATGTTAACATCCGAAGCCTCCTCCCTAAGTTTGAGTTATTCACTGCGTTAGCACACTCCGCCAACCCTGATGTTCTAGCAGTGTCTGAATCCTGGCTTAGGAAGGCCACCAAAAATTCAGAAATGTCCATTCCCAACTACAACATTTTCTGTCTAGATAGAACTGCCAAAGGGGGTGGAGTTGCAATCTACTGTAGAGATAGCCTGCAGAGCTCTATCATACTATCCAGGTCTGTGCCCAAACAGTTTGAGCTCCTACTTCTAAAAATCCACTTTTCCAGAGATAAGTCTCTCACTGTTGCCGCTTGCTACAGACCCCCCTCAGCCCCCAGCTGTGCCCTGGACACCATATGTGAATTGATTGCCCCCCATCTATCCTCAGAGTTCGTACTGCTTGGTGACCTAAACTGGGATATGCTTAACACCCCGGCCATCCTACAATCCAAACTAGATGCCCTCAATCTCACACAAATTATCAAGGAACCTACCAGGTACAACCTGACTAACTTACCCTCTAAATACACCTCCGCTGTCTTTAACAAGAATCTCAGCAATCACTGCCTTATTGCCTGCGTCCGTAACGGGTCCGCGGTCAAATGACCACCCCTCATCACTGTCAAACGCTCCCTAAAACACTTTAGCGAGCAGGCCTTCCTAATTGACCTGGCCCAGGTATCCTGGATGGATATCGATCTCATTCCGTCAGTAGAGGATGCCTGGTTGTTCTTTAAAAGTGCTTTCCTCTCAATCTTAAATAAGCATGCCCCATTCAAAAAATTCAGAACTAAGAACAGATATAGCCCCTGGTTCTCCTCAGACTTGACTGCCCTTGACCAGCACAAAAACATCCTGTGGCGTACTGCATTAGCATCGAATAGCCCCCGCGATATGCAACTTTTCAGGGAAGTTTGGAACCAATATACACAAGCAGTTAGGAAAGCAAAGGCTAGCTTTTTCAAACAGAAATTTGCATCCTGTAGCACTAACTCCAAAACGTTTTGGGACACTGTAAAGTCCATGGAGAATAAGAGCACCTCCTCCCAGCTGCCCACTGCACTGAGGCTAGGAAACACTATCACCACAGATAAATCTACAATAATCAAGAATTTCAACAAGCATTTATCTACGGCTGGCCATGCTTTCCACCTGGCTACCACTACCCCGGCCACCAGCTCTGCACCCTCCGCTGCAACTTGCCCATGCCCCCCCGCTTCTCCTTCACACAAATTCAGACAGCTGATGTTCTGAAAGAGCTGCAAAATCTGGACCCCTACAAATCATCTGGGCTAGACAATCTGGACCCTTTCTTTCTAAAATTAGCAGCCGAAATTGTCGCAACCCCTATTACTAGCCTGTTCAACCTCTCTTTCGTAACGTCTGAGATCCCCAGAGATTGGAAAGCTGCCGCGGTCATCCCCCTCTTCAAAGGGGGTGACACTCTAGATCCAAACTGTTACAGACCTATATCCATCCTGCCCTGCCTTTCGAAAGTTTTTGAAAGCAAAGTTAACAAACAGATCACCGACCATTTCGAATCCCACCGTACCTTCTCAGCTATGCAATCTGGTTTCCGAGCTGGTCATGGGTGCACCTCAGCCATGCTCAAGGTCCTAAACAATATTATAACCGCGATCGATAATAGACAGTACTGTGCAGCCATCTTCATCGACCTGGCCAAGGCTTTCAACTGTCAACCACCGCATTCTTATTGGCAGACTAAATAGCCTTGGTTTCTCAAATGACTGCCTCGCCTGTTTCACCAACTACTTCTCAGATAGAGTTCAATGTGTCAAATCGGAGGGCCTGTTGTCTGGACCTATTGCAGTCTCTATGGGGGTGCCACAGGGTTCAATTCTCGGGCCGACTCTTTTCTCTGTGTATATCAATGATGTCGCGCTTGCTGCTGGTGACTCTCAGATCCACCTCTACGCAGACGACACCATTTTGTATACATCTGGCCCTTCATTGGACACTGTGTTAACAAACCTCCAAACGAGCTTCAATGCCATACAACACTCCTTCCGTAGCCTCCAACTGCTCTTAAACACTAGTAAAACTAAATGCATGCTCTTCAATCGAACGCTGCTGGCACCCGCCCACCCGACTAGAATCACTACTCTCGGCGGGTCTGACCTAGAGTATGTGGACAACTACAAATACCTAGGTGTCTGGTTAGACTGTAAACTCTCCTTCCAGACTCACATTAAGCATCTCCAATCCAAAGTTAAATCTAGAATCGGCTTCCTATTTCGCAACAAAGCCTCCTTCACTCATGCTGCCAAAAATGCCCTCGTTAAACGGACTATCCTACCGATCCATGACTTTGGCGATGTCATTTACAAAATAGCCTCCAACACTCTACTCAGCAAATTGGATGTAGTCTATCACAGTGCCATCCGTTTTGTCACCAAAGCCCCATATTCTACCCACCACTGTGACCTGTACACTCTTGTTGGCTGGTCCTCACTACATATTCGTCACCAAACCCACTGGCTCCAGGTCATCTATAAATCACTGCTAGGCAAATCCCCGCCTTATCTTAGCTCATTGGTCACCATAGCAACACCCACCCGTAGTATGCGCTCCAGCAGGTATATCTCACTGGTCATCCCCAAAGCCAACACCTCCTTTGGCCGCCATTCCTTCAGTTCTCTGCTGCCAATGACTGGAACGAACTGCAAAAATCTCTGAAGCTGGAGACTCTTATCTCCCTCACTAACTTTAAGCATCAGTTGTCAGAGCACTTTACCGATCACTGCACCTGTACACAGCCCATCTGAAATTAGCCCACCCAACTACCTCATCCCCATATTGTTATTTATTTTGTTCATTTGCACCCCAGTATCTCTATTTGCACATCATCTCTTGCACATCTATCATTCCAGTGTTAATACTAAATTGTAATTATTTTGCACTCTGGCCTATTTATTGCCTTACCTCCATAACTTGCTACATTTGCACACACTGTATATATATTTTCTGTTGTATTTTCTTGACTTTATGTTTTGTTTACCCCATATGTAACTCTGTGTTTTTTTTTTTTTTTATCGCACTGCTTTGCTTTATCTTGGCCAGGTCGCAGTTGTAAATGAGAACTTGTTCTCAACTGGTTTACCTGGTTAAATAAAGGTGAAATATATATATATTTTTTAATGGTGGTGGTGGCGGCATCATCTGTGGGGATGTTTTTCAGCGGCAGGGACTGGAAGACTAGTTAGGAATGAGAGAAAGATGTACGGAGCAATGTACAGAGAGATCCTTGATGAAAACCTGCTCCAGAGCGTTCAGGACCTCAGACTGGAGGGAAGGTTCACCTTCCAAAAGGACAATGACCCTAAGCTCAAAACCAAGACAACACAGGAGTGGCTTCGGGACAGGTCTCTGAATGTCCTTGAGTGACCCAGCCAGGGCCCAGACTTGAACCCAATCGAACATCTCTGGAGAGACCTGAAAATAGCTGTGCAGCAACACTCCCTATCCAACCTGACAGAGCTTGAGGATCTGCAGAGAAGAATGGGAGAAACTCCCCAAATACAGGTGTGCTAAGCTTGTAGCGTCATACCCAAGAAGACTCAAGGCTGTAATCGCTGCCAAAGGTGCTTCAACAAAGTACTGAGTAAAGGGTCTGAATACTTATGTAAACGTAATATTTCAGTTTTTAGTTTTTAATACATTTGGAAACCTTTCTAAAAACCTGTTTTTGCTTTGTCATTATCGTATATTGTGTGTGGATTGATGAGGGAAAAAAACAATTGTATACATTTTAGAATAAGGCTGTAATGTAACAAAATGTGGAAAAAGTCAAGGGGTCTGAATACTTTCCGAATGCACTGTATATGACATGGATATTATCATATAAAAGGCTACCAGATCAGTGTCAATGACTATTAATGCAGCAACTAGATTGTCAGTAGACATATGGTATCTTGTATTCCTCCTGACCATCGCTTTCTATAATACCATCTCTGACTTCCATCTCACCGCTCTTAAATGCCCCTTGCTCCAAAGAAAATGGGGAGTCATCTCATTATTAGCTCCGTGGCGTATTCTTTTACTCGTGTCATACAAACACTAGAACCAAGGAGGATAGGTGTTACATTAAAATGATGGCCTAAGCTAAGTTAAAAGTGTGTGTCTGGGTGTTGCATACTTAGTGACGACAGAGGGCATGGGGATCTCCAGGAACTGCTCTTTGAGGGGCACAAAGGGCAGGAGGCCGGTGTAGAAGAGCCCCAACAGCATTAGAACCCTGCGCATGCTGAACAGCACTGGGATACGAGGGTTCTACAACACAGAGAGAAAAGTAGGTGGTGGTGATGAATACAAGTCCGCAATCCAGCTTTCTTAGTATGACAAAGAACTGGGTCCTCCTACAGTGGGGAAAAAAAGTATTTAGTCAGCCACCAATTGTGCAAGTTCTCCCACTTAAAAAGATGAGAGAGGCCTGTAATTTTCATCATAGGTACACGTCAACTATGACAGACAAATTGAGAGAAAAAAAATCATGAAAATCACATTGTAGGATTTTTAATGAATTTATTTGCAAATTATGGTGGAAAATAAGTATTTGGTCACCTACAAACAAGCAAGATTTCTGGCTCTCACAGACCTGTAACTTCTTATTTAAGAGGCTCCTCTGTCCTCCACTCGTTACCTGTAGTAATGGCACCTGTTTGAACTTGTTATCAGTATAAAAGACACCTGTCCACAACCTCAAACAGTCACACTCCAAACTCCACTATGGCCAAGACCAAAGAGCTGTCAAAGGACACCAGAAACAAAATTGTAGACCTGCACCAGGCTGGGAAGACTGAATCTGCAATAGGTAAGCAGCTTGGTTTGAAGAAATCAACTGTGGGAGCAATTATTAGGAAATGTAAGACATACAAGACCACTGATAATCTCCCTCGATCTGGGGCTCCACGCAAGATCTCACCCCGTGGGGTCAAAATGATCACAAGAACGGTGAGCAAAAATCCCAGAACCACACGGGGGGACCTAGTGAATGACCTGCAGAGAGCTGGGACCAAAGTAACAAAGCCTACCATCAGTAACACACTACGCCGCCAGGGACTCAAATCCTGCAGTGCCAGACGTGTCCCCCTGCTTAAGCCAGTACATGTCCAGGCCCATCTGAAGTTTGCTAGAGTGCATTTGGATGATCCAGAAGAGGATTGGGAGAATGTCATATGGTCAGATGAAACCAAAATATAACTTTTTGGTAAAAACTCAACTCGTCGTGTTTGGAGGACAAAGAATGCTGAGTTGCATCCAAAGAACACCATACCTACTGTGAAGCATGGGGGTGGAAACATCATGCTTTGGGGCTGTTTTTCTGCAAAGGGACCAGGACGACTGATCCGTGTAAAGGAAAGAATGAATGGGGCCATGTATCGTGAGATTTTGAGTGAAAACCTCCTTCCATCAGCAAGGGCATTGAAGATGAAACGTGGCTGGGTCTTTCAGCATGACAATGATCCCAAACACACCGCCCGGGCAACGAGGAGTGGCTTCGTAAGAAGCATTTCAAGGTCCTGGAGTGGTCTAGCCAGTCTCCAGATCTCAACCCCATAGAAAATCTTTGGAGGGAGTTGAAAGTCCGTGTTGCTCAGCGCCAGCCCCAAAACATCACTGCTCTAGAGGAGATCTGCATGGAGGAATGGGCCAAAATACCAGCAACAGTGTGTGAAAACCTTGTGAAGACTTACAGAAAACGTTTAACCTGTGTCATTGCCAACAAAGGGTATATAACAAAGTATTGAGAAACTTTTGTTATTGACCAAATACTTATTTTCCACCATAATTTGCAAATAAATTCATTAAAAATCCTACAATGTGATTTTCTGGAGAAAAAAAAATCTCATTTTGTCTGTCAGTTGACGTGTACCTATGATGAAAATTACAGGCCTCTCTCATCTTTTTAAGTGGGAGAACTTGCACAATTGGTGGCTGACTAAATACATTTTTTCCCCACTGTATGTGCTAAAAGGTTCTTCCTAAACTGCCATCATAAAAACTTGTAAATATAAATTTTGCAAGTTTGTGTTGATCAAGGTAAATATTATCAAACATAAACAGAAGAAATCATTATACAAGGCAATTAGCCTTTGGTTACCTCCTTGTAACACTTCTGCACAATCTGGTTGCTAGAGTTGCCCCAAACAGTGAGGTGTTCTCTGTCATACTTCACGACCAGCTCTGAGACCTGCAGAACAAACAAGTTCACAACCCACAACAATGACAACCATTTGATGAGAACACTTATCCCATCACACACTCAAAGCACCCACTTCTTTCCGGAAATGTCTAACCCCAGGGCACACAGACACACACACCTTCTTGATAAGTGTGTCATTGTTGACCTTGATGTCGATGTTGACAGGGGTCTTAGGGAAGGCCTCGAACACGTCCCTGAGGAGAGGCATGCGTTTGTCCTCCCCTCCCTCACAGACGCATTCTGCAGACACACACAGGGAAAATTGAGGACACAGCCACACCTGCCAAAGCAGCACGTACTACATACAAACAGTGATACTCACCTCTCTGGAAAGTCACACCAAGCTTGCACAGGTAAGGAGGCAGATCCTGTAGAGAACAAACATAGTAGACACATTTGATCATGCATATCCCTTTTATTGTTGTCACGATACCAGAAAGTAAGGTAGCAAAATAATCAAAAAATGAGGCGGGCTTAATTACTTGGAAAAAACAGCCTTATGATGTCACATTTGTTTATTTTCCAAGCTATAGCACACAATATTTTACAAAATTACATTTTAAAGGACCATAGAGTTTAGTCTGCTTCGTGTCCTCTTATGCCAAGGAGAATCTGGTATCGTATTATTGCAATACAGGTATCGTGACAACACTAATCCCTTTAGATGTATTATTTGGTCAAAAGTCTGATTAAAATTGACAGGATCTATTCTAATAGGGAGATAAATGCAACAAAATACTGGGGAGTAGAATTATATGAAAGCTGAGTTCAAGACCTGGAAAGAGGCGTCTAAAATTGCCCAAGAGGAAGAAATGGAGGGACCTTGTGGAGGCCTTACAGACCACTTGCCGCAATGAGGCCTAGGTAAAGTACGTAGGCTAAGTTTTTATATGGCTGTTGAGAAGCCAACCTTGCGATACTCACGGCGTAGGCCACATCAGAGATCAGGGCGCTGACGCCAGTCGACCTCTCCAGGTTGGCATCATGTGACACGACCACCTGCTCGTCCTTGGTCATGTGACAGTCCAGCTCCAGCATGTCAGTGCCAAGGTCCACTGCACTGGACACATGTAAAGGAGGCAATCACACACACACACACACATACCACACCAGCAGGAAGTTGAGGATCGCATCAACAAATCTAGACAGGGTAAACACACACACACACACGTAATGGACATCACGCTGCTTGCTGAACAGTACATCTTCCTCCCCAACTGGGATTTATCGTGTGTCCTCTGTCTTGCAAACACACATGACCGCCCTCTTGACAATGCCATAGCCAACTACACCACCACAACGCTAGCAAGTCGATGGCACAGGTGTTGGCATGTCAAGCTGAGGAGTGAGGTTAACCAATTCAACTTGGTTACCCACACTTCAAAATGGCTCCTACTAAGTGGTGTGTATTCATGGATGCCAAGGGAAGCCAGGCTTCCCCCCAAAAAAATTACCAACGGAAAAAAAACTATAAATAAAGCATCTTCCGTCTCTCTGTGTTTCATAATTTTCCTTCAATGCGCAAGAGGCTGAATGCATCTCACCGGACAAAGCATCCGAGCGAGCGAAACAGCGCCCCCTCTGTCTCTGTATGTGTAGTGTAGCCCATCTATCTGATGCTGTCTGGTCACGACGTTTTTGCCGCCCGTAGCATTGAATGCAAGGGAAGCCAGCGAGCATTTGGCCTCCCTTGATAATTTTTTTAATAAAATAATAGCCAAATCAGCTCAATTGTGAATGGTCCTGGCGCACCAAAAATAAATGTGAAGGGAAGCCAGTTTGGATTTGAATTCACACCAATCACATCAAAACCACAACGTAATTGACAGAAAACTTGAATTGTTACATCTCGTGTCGTTTTCCTCCGGTGGCTAGCTAGCTAGCTAATATTGGCCCTTTCTGAAATTAGCCATGGATGGAGATAGGGATTTGGATTTATGGTTTTACTTAATTCACCGTACTGGCCAATGATTATAAATGATCCAACCATAAATTCATAAATTGTGCCCCTGGCCTGAGAGGATGGAAGTTCAATATGTAGCTAGACGTAGTAAGCTAATGTTAACTAGCTTGCTCATTGTTGCCCATGAAAGGAAGTTAGGCAAGCGAGCAAGCATTTTAGCCAGGTAACCTAGGAAACAAAAAATAAAAGTGTGTACTGTATGACTGAGTCATAGACCGTTTCATCAACATGAAAGAGAGGAAGATTAAATTGGAGTTTCTCTACAAGTAGGGGGAGCAAAGATTTGTTTCTACTTGCACGCGCACACACAGATAAATCAGAACCATGGACAGCCACATCATATTTACATTGCATTCAGAAAGTATTCAGAACCCTTCCCTTTTTCCACATTTTGTTACGTTACAGCCTTACTCTAAAATGGATTACACTTTTTAAAATCCTCAATCTACACACAACACCCCATAATGACAAAGCGAAAACAGGTTTTTAGAAATGTTTGCAAATGTATTACAAATAAAAAACGGAAATACCTTATTTATATAAGTATTCAGACCCTTTGCTATGAGACTTAAAATTGAGCTCAGGTGCATCCTGTTTCCATTGATCATACTTGAGATGTTTCTACAACTTGATTGGAGTCCACCTATGGTACATTTAATTGATTGGAAAGGCACATACCTGTCTATATAAGGTCCTACAGTTGACATTGCGTCTCAGAGCAAAAACCAAGCAATGAGGTGGAAGGATTTGTCCGTAGCGCTCCAACACAGGATTGTGTCGAGGCACAGATCTGGGGAAGGCTACCAAAAAAAGAAAGGCCTTGGTCAGGGAGGTGACCAAGAACCCGATGGTTACTGACAGAGCTCCTGAGTTCCTCTGTGGAGAAGGGAGAACCTTCCAGAACGACAACCATCTCTGCAGCACGCCACCAATCAAGCCTTTATGGTAGAGTGGCCAGTTGGATGCCACTCCTCAGTAAAAGGCACATGACAGCCCGCTTGGAGTTTGCCAAAAGGCAGCTAAAGGACTCTCAGACCATGAGAAACAAGATTCTCTGGTCTGATGAAACCAAGATTGAACTCTTTGGCCTGAATGCCAAGCGTCACGCCTGGAGGAAACCTGGCACCATCCCTACGGTGAAGCATGGTGGCAGCATCATGCTGTGGGGATGTTTATCAATGGCAGGGACTGTGAGACTAATCAGGATCGAGGGAAAGATGAAAGGAGCAAAGTACAGAGAGATCCTTGATGATAACCTGCTCTACAGCGCTCAGGACCTCAGACTGGGGCTAAGGTTCACCTTCCAACAGGACAACGGCCCTAAGCAAACAGCCAAGACAATGCAGGAGTGGCCTCGGGACAAGTCTCTGAATGTCCTTGAGTGGCCCAGCCAGAGCCCGACCTTGAACCCAATCTCTCTGGAGAGACCTGAATATAGCTGTGCAGTGACGCTCCCTATCCAACCTGACAGAGCTTGAGGATCTGCAGAGAAGAATGGGAGAAACTCCCCAAATACAGGTGTGCTAAGCTTGTAGCGTCATACCCAAGAAGACTCAAGGCTGTAATCGCTGCCAAAGGTGCTTCAACAAAGTACTGAGTAAAGGGTCTGAATACTTATGTAAATGTGATATCTGTTTTTTATTTACATTTCTAAAAACCTGTTTTTGCTTTGTCATTATGGGGTATTGTGTGTAGATTGATGAGGGGGGGAAAACAATTTCATCAATTTTAAAATAAGGCTGTAACGTAACAAAATGTGGAAAAAGTCAAGGGGTCTGAATACTTCCCGAATGCACTGTATATCACAGTGGCAAGGCATATGAACTAACAGGTTATCAAATCAAATTTTATTGGCCACATGCGCCGAATACAACAGGTGTAGACATTACAGTGAAATGCTTACTTACAGCCCTTAACCAACAATGTATTTGCTTGGCTTCCCCAATGATTTTACCCACGCACCGCTACTGATCCTACTTGAACAAGGTTGGTGTCATGTCATTATGGAAAAATATGGTCTGTGATCTGTCAGTTGCAACATCCACACATAGTACATGATAAAGCATTCCAGCACAACGACGTGACATGATTCATACAATTGAGTCTAGACTACTTTTACACACAATCATCCTCTACTAGATATAAAACAAACTTGATGATATGAGTAATTTTGGCAAGCTGAATAGTCCATTCAGCAGAAGTATATTTTACCCATAAGGACATCCGGTCCCATCTGCCTACTTCCTCCATTGAGAGTGTAGGTTTATCATCAATTCGGTTCCATGTGATATCATCTGCTTATGGCATTGCTTGCTGTTAATCTGGATATTTAGCCTAATCCTCCTGTGTTGGCCTATGTAAAACATGACATGATGCAGCTCGAGTCAATGGGAGGATATGGACTTGACTCACTGCTTGAAAGCTGCCATGGTGTTCTCCAGGTTTTCGCCTGCCCCTGCAAATACAGACATGACAGAGAGGAGTTCATGAATTAGAGGTGCCTGAAACTGAGTTGGTGTGAGGCAAGTTAGCAAGATGTCTTGAGGAACAACACTGCCTTTTGTAGTTTCAGTTTCATGAATGTGTCATGAATGGATGAAGCAAGATTGCAACACTAACCTCCACGGTGGGATATGTGTCTGCTTAGGAATGGCTCTCTCTTCCGCCGATGCAGAAGTGTTGGGCATTTCAATAACAAGGCAGAGGTGAGCACATACCCCATCACCGTAGACAACACGTAGACAGCAGCACACATCTCTGATTCTCCTTTAGCTCAACTGGGAAGGTAACATGCATGATCAAGCATAGCTATACTAGCCAATACTGATAAGTCACCACGATTCAGCTTTAATAAGTAGGTCAGATTACATTTTTAAAAATGCACACGTTCATACTGCTGTACAGTAGCCCAATATTGGACTAAAGGTGCCTGTTACTGCTTAGTCCAAGGACCTTACATGTTCTGTTTGGAAGCCAAAGCAGCCAAATACTCAATCTAAACGTGAATCGATTCTCAATTGCGGTACAGTTCTAAAAACATATCACATCAAAATCATTTCATAAATACAAAACACACACTTACTGTACACTGTTTTAACCGGTTCCAACACAGTTGCAGCTGACAGTATTTTTCAGTGACACGTTTGCGGCGTCTGTCTTCCGTGTCCAGACAGGTGTTCGGAGACGCATATAGCTAATTAGCACAGGTAGTTCACTCCGTCTTCCGTCTGGTTCCGTAAACCAAGCGTTGTAACATGGAAATATGGCCGTGTGGGAACCATAACCCTATAAAAAGGTGTGTATCAATTTAACCTTTTGTTTTTTGAAAATTATTTCTCGTCGATATGAAAAATAAGATCCTTATGCTTCCAAAACCGTACCGCAAGCGATGCGTTTATAATGTTCAGACCCTAATGTTTGACCCTTAACCCTAGGATGCATAGTAAACATGACGCCCAAAGAACGCATATGCCAGGTCAAAATGTTTGGACACATACTCATTCAAGGGTTTTTCTTTATTTTGACTATTTGCTACATTGTAGAATAATAGTGAAGACATCGAAACTATGAAATAACACATATGGAATCATGTAGTAACCAAAAAAAGTGTTAAACAAATCAAAATATATTCTTCAAAGTAGCCACCCTTTGCCTTGATGACAGCTTTGCACACTCTTGGCATTCTCTCAACCAGCTTCACCTGGAATGCTTTTCCAACAGTCTTGAAGGAGTTCCCACATATGCTGAGCACTTGTTGGCTGATTTTCCTTCACTCTGCGGTTCAACTCATCGCAAACCATCTCAATTGGGTTGAGGTCGGGTGATTGTGGAGGCCAGGTCATCTGATGCAGCACTCCATCACTCTCCTTCTTGGTAAAATAGCCCTTACACAGCCTGGAGGTGTGTTGGGTCATTGTCCTGTTGAAAAACAAATGATAGTCCCACTAAGCCCAAACCAGATGGGATGGCGTATCGCTGCAGAATGCTGTGGTAGCCATGCTGGTTAAGTGTGCCTTGAATTCTAAATAAATCACACAGTGTCACCAGCAAAGCACCCCCACTCCATAACACCTCCTCCTCCATGCTTCATGGTGGGAAATACACATGCGGAGATCATCCGTTCACCCACACTGCGTCTCACAAAGACATGGCGGTTGGAACCAAAAATCTCCAATTTGGACTCCAGACCAAAGGACAAATTTCCACCGGTCAAATGTCCATTGCTTGTCTTTCTTTGCCCAAGCAAGTCTCTTCTTATTATTGGTGTCCTTTAGTTGTGGTTTCTTTGCAGCAATTTGACCATGAAGGCCTGATTCACAAAGTCTCCTCTGAACAGTTGATGTTGAGATGTGTCTGTTACTTGAACTCTGTGAAGCATTTATTTGGGCTGCAATTTCTGAGGGCTGGTAACTAATTAACTTATCCTCTGCAGCAGAGGTAACTCTGGGTCTTCCTTTCCTGTGGCGGTCCTCATGAGAGCCAGTTTCATCATAGCGCTTGATGGTTTTTGCAACTGCACTTGAAGAAACTTTCAAAGTTCTTGAAATGTCCCATATTGACTGACCTTCATGTCTTAAAGTAATGATGAACTGTCATTTCTCTTTGCTTATTTGAGCTGTTCTTGCCATAATATGGACTTGGTCTTTTACCAAATAGGGCTATCTTCTGTATACCACCCCTACCTTGTCACAACACAACTGATTGGCTCAAACGCATTAAGAAGGAAATAAATTACACAAATTAACTTTTAACAAGGCACACCTGTTAATTGAAATGTATTCCAGGTGACTACCTCATGAAGCTGGTTGAGAGAATGCCAAGAGTGTGCAAAGCTGTCATCAAGGCAAAGGTGGCTACTTTGAAGAAACTCAAATATAAAATATATTTAGATTTGTTTAACAATTTTTTGGATACTACATGATTCCATGTGTTATTTCATAGTTTTGATGTCTTCACTACTATTGTACAATGCAGAAAATATTAAAAATAAAGAAAAACCCTTGAATGAGTAGGTGTGTCCAAACTTTTGATTGGTAGTATGTGTTTTATTCATATGGGTCTAAAATACTATCAATTTTGTGGAACATCATTATTTTGAGTGAGGTTGTGGACCTTTCAATAATTATTTTATTGTTTGAAATGTTTTTAGTCACTCTTCAACAGTTTGATACACATTTCAATGATAACATATTATGAAAATTCATAACGGCTATTGAAAATATTCGCACATTTTTCTTACAATCAAAGTTTCACATTCAACCTTTAGTGTGAAGTACAAAATAAAACCACCTTTAGCATGTTTTATAATATTTCAAAACATTTATTTGTAAATCGAAAGATCATCAATATAAACGACAACACTAACAATTGTGAATTTAGAAAACATAAACACTAAAAGGAACAAAGTGTGTGTGCGTGTGTCATGCTTACTTATGTGGTCTTAGTCCATGCATTTGTTACAAACCACAAGCATGTGACTGTGCTCTTTGCAGACGGGTGTGTTGCACTGAGAACACCAGCAGCTGACTTTTCTATCCTTTGGGCTTGGTCAGAGCTGGCACCTCTTCCTCTTCTGGCCCTGGCTGCTCTGAGTGGTGGTGGCATGGCTCTCTTTCATCACCCCACATCTTTCCATTGCCTCAGTTCTTCTGTGGAGATGGGAGAACCTTCCAGAAGGACAACCATCTCTGCAGCACTCCAACAATCAGGCCTTTACGGTAGTGGCCAGACGGAAGCCACTCCTCAGTAAAAGGCACATGACAGCCCGCTTGGAGTTTGCCAAAAGGCACCTAAAGGACTCTCAGACCATGAGAAACACAATTCTCTGGTCTGATGAAACCAAGATTGAACTCTTTGGCCCGAATGCCAAACGTCACGTCTGGAGGAAACCTGCTCATCCACTGTGACGCAGTCGCTGGGGACGAACCTTCTACAGTTTGCTAGGAAAAGGTCCCACACATACCAGAAGGCTGCCAGGTGGTCCGTTGCCTCTCTGAACACTCTGGTCCTCTTGTCATCAAGCCTCAGGTAGCGACGGATATCCTCATATCTTCCGACCGACATGGTGGCCTTATACGTTGGATTCTGCAGTGGATCCAAAAATAGCTCCCGTGTGGAGACATCCCAGCTTTTCTCCACGCCGGCAAGGAGGGTTAAACCAATAAAGGCCTTTAGTTCCTCTTTGTTGACCTCTCTCCACTCTTTCCCTTTTGCTGTCGCTGTTCTCCGTCCTTCTAAATTTGTACACTTTAGGACCTCCTCAATTATGTTGTCACTAATGAACAGCTCCCAGGCATCTTTTGGTGACACAACTGTTGACCCCGGCACAGGCCCTCAGCAGCTCCTCAGGATGTTATGGCTTCTGGTCCTGCCTTTAGTGGGAGGGATGTTCACTCCAGTAAGACCCCTTTTTACTCAGTCAATTTGACTGGTTTTCACTCTCAGAGGAGGAGTCCTCCCCATCTGTAGAATCATCGAGGACAGCTGGAATACCAGGTTCATCCACAACTCCAACTTGACCCACAGGCACATAGTCTGTGTCATCTGAATTGGATACCTCAGATTCTGAGGCAGAGGCACCAATGGCTTCCTCATCCAGCATCTGTAAAACCATTTTGGTTGTATATCTGGCAACATTCTTATGAGCCTCCTTATGAAACTCCTTTTACTCTATGAGTTAAAAAGGAGAAATGAAAACAGTGATTAATGAACATTAAAAACAATATATTTAATAAATACTTTATTAATTACATTGATTTTATTGTTGTTGCAAAAAGAAAGGTCAGTTTGACGAGTGCAACGCAGTGAATTCCATATGGAATACATAGGGGTCATATTTGACCCACATATGAAAACTTGGGGTAGTGATGCAAAAACTCAGTTTACTTAAAAAATATGAAATTAAACAAAACTAGGATGTTGGAACATTAAAGACACATTATTTAAGGAATTTCCTGGAATATTAGATGACATTTTTTGGGGGGGATCAATACAGCAAAAAAAAACATTAGGCCGAGTCATTTTGACCCGGCATATGCATCCTAGGGTTAACAAAACCACCCCCTACAAACGATGCCTTCGTCCAGTCAATGACTATTTTGTGTAATATAATGGAACCAATGATGTATATAAATCATTGAATAGAACTGAGAGTCATGATCAAGGGGTAGTTTTCCGGCACAGTAGAAGCTATGCCGAAGAGGCAATAATGATGCAATTAGCTAGCAATTAAATGACAGATGCCATCCGTGTAGATGGGCTAAAAATAGCTAACGTTAGTGAATGTGTTTAGCTACAGAAGTGTGAGCCAACAAATTGCATTTTACCTTTGACAGCAAACGAACTTTCCTTCTGGATGTGTGGAAGTTTCTGTCTGGTGATCGCAAAGGTTTCTGCAAGCCCTGTCAGCAACTGCAACGACAGATAACGGAAATCTTCTTATTCTCCTTCTTCTTCTTCTTTGGGGTTTAACGGCGGTTGACATCCAATTGTTGCATTACTGCCTCCAACTGGACTATAATATAAATCCATTATACTATGTGATACAAAAGGAGAAAAGAAAAAAACATATATATCAAAATAAATACACCCTTCCAACTAACCCTACCAACTAACCCTACACTCATTAAAAACCCACTACCTCATTCCACTACTTTAACCCTATCTGCTCCTGCACCATGCCAACAGCCAGGGAGGACGGGACACCACCACTCAACACACCCTGAAAGTCTTCTGAAGTCAAATCTCATATACCCA